TGCTATACAAGTCCCAACATGCCAGGAGATCTCTCCCCTCCAGGCATTGATTTGAGATCCGGATGTGAACCAAAATCAAATGCTGAGACAATGCAGGTTTCTATTGGCAAATGCAATAGTGTCTGATGCTCCCAGGGCCGAGGCTGAGATACCAATGTCAAGTGACTAAAACACGCAAAAACAAATAAGAATTATAGTTAAATTGACCACAAATGTAAACAAATTTGATAAACCTGGATTGTTATTAACCTGACCAGCCAGTTTTATGATGTATTTCGTAAAAGTCCATCTCAAAATGTTAGAATATCTTGAAAAAGTTCTATATTTTTTGTCAATAATTTTAGAAAATCCACACCACATCTAATACGGAATGCATTTTCAAACATTTATTTTTTACATTTCTTTACATTTTGATGAATTTTAACCATGTTTAGTAACCATCGGTGCTGATGTATCTTGAAAAAGGAAAGGGGGGCAGATAACATAAGATTTTTTCTTCTTCTGCTCCTTTCTGCTCCTTTTCATTCATTTCTTGTGTGTCTGATGTTGTGACACTGTCGATGTCTTTTTATGCTTTATGAATTAAATAAATAAATAAATAAATAATAAAAATAATAATAATTTTGGCTTACAAATGACCACAATGTTTTTCATTTGGGATGGATGATACACAGTGGCGGCCCTCACTATAATGCACTGTTTTTCTTTTTTTTTTTTTTATATATATTTATTGTCTATTTTTTCCCATTGTTCTTGAGACACGCACATCTTTATTTAAATTATGGGGGATTGGAAACTTGTCTTATTAGTTCGGTCGCCTACTAGAAAACCAGAATTGAAAGTAGTTTTATTTTTTTGCTAGTACAATTATATTTTTGTTTACATCCATTACATATGATGATTATTATTTTACTTATGATTATTGTTTAAAACTAAACTACTCAGATTTAATATCATACTGAGAGAAAATCAAATTGCTCTGAGGCTTTGGTCATTCGTGACACTGAGGGCAAATGTTTGGGGGCCCCTCAAGGTTTGGGGGCCTTAAGCAGCTTTTGCCTAATAGTAGCACCGCCTCTGACGATATATCAGTCCCATATCGGTATCGAGAAAATGTACATTATTGATACAGCTTTTGTTTTGTTCTTTTCTGTGTGCCCTTTTTGAACAGATTAATGCGACAAAATTTTAAATAGGCGAGTGTCATGTGGCTGTATGTTTGCACAAATATCTAACACATTATTTTATACCCAAGATGATTTGTTATTATTTTTACAAAGGTGAAAAGTGAATGAGTGAACTTTGCTTTAACTTAAGATAAATTTGTGGGTCTCGCTATGGATTTTAAACGTGAAATATCAGTAAATATCAGAATAATATCAGCCACAGAAGCAGTATAAATATCGGAAATCAGTTTCAGTATCAGTAAAAAAAAAAAAAATACAAATTCTTATGGGGAAATTTGTTCTTTTATGTTTGACTTTTTCTTTACTTTTGAGCAAGATATCGTTCAGGAGTGGAGTTTTCGTTTTATGGACACTACTGGAGACATATTCAGATCACGCAAACTTAAAATTCATTGGGGAATTGAACCTGCGACCTTTTACAGTGAGATACATGTTTATTTTCATTTGCAGGTTTGTCCGTATTGTGTATTTTCTTTTCTCTAAAAGTGAACCCTTTGTTACTAAATGATGCTGATTCTACCCAATGACGAAATAATAAGGTATAAAAAAATATCTGTAGGCTTAAGAGAAATAAAAAGAAGACATCAGGACATTCATTTGATCCTTTTTTTAGATTAAAGGAAATGTTTAGAAGAATACGGAAACTATCTGAGAATTTATAGTGGTGTGAAATGGGAGCTTTCCCGTCTGATCCGGATACCAGTTCAAAACAGTCCGGACACTTCTGTCTACTGATTTACAAGTTGCTGGTCAGGCTAAAAACACTCTCCGTAAACATCAAATCCAGCTAAAATAATCTATTAAAGCCACAGTATGTAACTTTAGAGACAAAAAATAGACTAGGTGACAGCCCTCTCCTGCTTGTTTCCATGGAAATGTTGTTCCTTTATTCCACTGTACGGGATCGTGATGGAGATTGTTCCAAAGAATGGTTTTAACTTTCTATTTCCATGGAATCGTGTAAGTGAAGTGCCACCTCCAAAAAGTGACATACTGTATCTTTAAGTAAATTTAATGTGCTAGAAATGTCTAAATTTAAAATCCCAATTTCCCAACTAAATAAATGTAAGTAAATATATCTAATTTATAGTTAAAGGGCCTGTATTATGCAAAATGTGAGGTTTTAATCTGTGGTATGATTCTGTTATCTCACCAAAAACATGCTTGGAGTTGTGTTTTGTTTCATTCACACATGTTTGAGTGATCCTTTATTGGTCTGTTCCACCTTGTGATGTCATGAAATGGTAGTTTTCAAGTTAACAGTTCCTTTATCTTTAGTTCAGTAGAGATTTGCAATTCCAGAGCTGAATCTTACCTTCACTAGAATTATTAAGTGATTCTAGTGAAGGTGTGTGGAGTTTAAAAACACAGTGGAGCACTTCCTGTAATACAGTGCTTCTCAGTTATTTTCTGTCATGCACTCCTTAGAAAGAAGGAAACATTTTGTGCCTCCTGACTCGACAGAACTGCTACCAAACAGACAATTCGCACCCTCGCCTTCAGTCGTCTACATACGAGAGCAAACGTTTTAACGTTTTAATCGCGTCTCCAAAGTGACTCCCAGGACACATGCAGCACGTGTCCGTCTGTATTCTGCGCTGTGCTCGCCTGCATCATGAGGTGGTCCTCTCTTGTATCCTCCTCATCTATAAAGATCACGTCCATGTCATAGTTCGGCAGTATCAGCTCTTCTGCTATTTGTTACGCCGCCTTGATTCTAACAGTGCTCGCTGGTTTACTGAAGCAACATTCACAACGCAGGGTGATTGTTGGCAAAATTCGGCACGTTTTCGCTGAAAAAACTCAAGCGTCTGATCAGCGTGATTGGGGTGTAAAGTCTTTAAGTGACGCTGCAATTTATTTGGCTTCATGCTGTCTACTGCCAACATTTTTAGACACAGTAAACACAGCGGCCTTTCCTCGTTTCCCGCCTGTAGTCACAGTGAAGCCGAGTGCTACATACACTTTACATACACTTTGTTCTCTGCACTTCGTATCCCCTACTCAAAAAAACGCAAAAAACCTAAAGACACTATAATACTGATATAAGACTCAAAATGGTTTCAAATCGTCCGCCCATTCAAGACAATGGGTCACGCTCAAGTGCCGCATGATTCCAGATTCGCCTTCAGCCCGGCGAGTTACTTCCGGTGGCTCTGGGCTGATTGAGCATGTGCAGTAGTGCTCCTTTCTCCCGCGGGCACACACGAATGCGTAGAGAGAATGCGCGAGCACGGTTTCGTGTATCATGTGATCGCTTTGACCAATCAGAGCGAGAGGAGATAAAGCGGGGGAGAGCGGAGCCGGAGCTAACGATTATAAAGAGTTTTTTTTTTTAAAGACAACTGAAGGATTTTGAGCTGAGAAAAAGTTTATGATCCAAAAATAGGTAAAAATTGCAACAAAATCCAACATTTTTGAAAGCTGTAGGTTCCCTGTCAGTTCAAACACGAGCAGTTTGTGATTACATTGAGCTCTATGAGAAAAATCCTTTCTCGGCCCAGGTTTTTTTTTTCCGCTGAAGTACCAGTGAGTGACCACTACATCAACTGGAGGCAACTACAAGCGGCAACACCCTATCCTGTTATTTTAATAGATCCATGACTAATACTCCCTGCGCATCACTATGACAATGAGAGCGTCACTGCCAACTAGTGTAGTGGATGTGCAATTACACTTTATTCGAATAGGACAAAATAAAGCATGTTCCCCAAGGATTTGAGAAAGACTGCTGTAATACCACATGACATCACAAGGTGGAACAGAGTGTTTTTCTTTTGAGAAAAGAACTCAGCCTAAATATGCAGGGTGTGAATGAAACAAAACACAACTCCAGGTCTGTTTGTGACGAGGAAACATTATAACAAATCAGAAAATAGCGTAATATGGGCCCTTTAACATCTGGCTATTCTTTCCCCCTTTTTTAAAAACCGAGCCTCTCTTTAGTCCACGTCTCATGCGGCTGAAGTTTCCTAATCATTTGAAAGCATGCGAGATGGTATCAGCGCTCGGCCCGTTGGTTTGCGTGTGGGAGAGAGAGAGAGAGAAAATGTCAAAGCAACAAGCCACGCAAAGGAAGGAAGGAAGGAAGGAACGAAGGATCAGGAGGGAGGAGAGGAGGGGTTTTTGGACTACTTACGTTGACCTCAGTGATCGCTATGTCAACAATGCTACCCACAACTATTAAGGCATCAAATGTGTTCCATGCATCAACAAAATAATGCTGGGGTTGGGTGGAAAAAAAACAAGAACAGAACAGATAGAAAATAAAGTGAAATATGGAAAATAAATGGTGAAAGAAACCAAAAGAGAGAGAGAAATAAGATAGAAAACATTATATATACACGAATCTTTAAGAAGGACATAGGAAGGTTGGACGCAGCGGACGCCGATCATGCCAACTGCTGTCCGTAAGAAACAAAAAATTAACCAAGAAGTCGCTGAAATGCAAAATGCCTTTAAGGTGATTGGTCAGTTGGTTAGTTTGGGTTAGTAGAAGCATAAAAACATCTGGAAAACGTCAAAAAAAACGTGCGATTTTCAAAGACTTTCAAGGACTTTCGAGGATTTTCAACGCTAATACTGCCCCCTGCTGTCTACGAGAAGAAAACGCCACGTTCGCTATAGTGGCGAAGCTCATTGGTAGCCATCGTGGGGATCGTAGGATGGACAGGAAGACAGAGAGAGATTAAGAGGAGGTTGAAAAAGACAGACAGGTAGATAGAAAGAAAGAAAAAGACGCAAAAGAAAGAACAAATAATAGACAGACAAGAGGAAGAGGAAGAGGGGAGGAAGATGGGGCATTATACTTACGTTTATTTCACTTAGAATGACGTCAATAATGCTGCCAATTACGATGAGGAAATCAAAAACATTCCAGGGATCACTAAAGTACCCCTACACGAGACGGATAGGTCAGGAGAAGAGAAGGATTAGGTCAGGTTAGCAGGAACACAACAACAATAAGATAAGTTACAAGACAACCACCCAGAAACAAGCTCATTAATTATTATTATTTAGTGTGATTATTCTTATTTACTTTTGCTGTTTTTCTTTATTTTCTTAAAAAGGAATGAACGTGACCGGGGATGTAACGATATCCAAATTTCGCCGTACCAGAGGTGGGACCAAGTCGTTGTTTTATAAGTCTCAAGTCCGAGTCAAATACAGGTAAGTCCAAGTCGAGTCTCGAGTCACTGGCCCATAAGTCCAAGTCAAGTCCAAGTCGTCTGCTTTGAGCTTCAAGTCATTTCAAATCTTTAAACCAAAGTACCAAATACAGCTCAGATTTTTGCAATTTATTTGACTTTTAAACTAAATTACTTAAAAAAGTCACGGTATATTTATATGTGGGAATTTATAGAGTATTAAAGAGTTCTAGAAATGAATTTAGTTAATTTTTCCTTTTTAAATGTCTTGACAAGATCTTAGAGAATCATTACAGTCAGAACACAAAAAATTCAGATTTAAAAGTCCTTCTCAAGTCACAGGCCTCAAGTCCGCGTCAGGTCCCAAGTCAATGACCTTCAAGTCCAAGTCAAGTCCAAATCGAGTCTCACGTCTTAGTAAATTTTATCAAGTTAGTTCTCAAGTCCTAAAAATATTGACTCAAGTCTGACTCGAGTCCAAGTCATGACTTACGAGTCCCCACCTCTGCTCTGTACGATATTTTCCCGATATGCATCTCATGGTACGATATTTATTGTGTATTTTGTGGAGGAAAACAAAATTGTATATTGTGAATTTTCCTTTTCAAATCCCTTGACAATCCTTTGGTTCTGTAATCATCCAAAAAAATCAAGATTTAAAAATTCTTAATACCAGTAATAACAGAGCAAAGGATCATGGTCTATGTAGTTTTTTTTTAAGTCTTGCTGTACCACAACAATGGACTTAACCAAAGGGATTTGAAATGTGATATACTGTGATGGATTGTTACATCCCCAGCACTGGTGACTAGACAATACTTAAAGGTGCACTGTGTAACTTCTCTAGAAGAGAGTCTGCCACCTGCTTGTCTCCATGGAGATGTTACTCTTTTGCCTTGATTATTCTACATGGAAATAAACTTGGTAATCACAATAGCCAGGTTAATGGGCAGATCTATGAAGAAGCGAGTCCGGACGTGGTATTAATTTTTATTTATTTTTTTACGTATTTTTGAGCTATAAAACACATGCAATTGAACAAATGCAAGAGAGATATGTTTACCGTATTTTTTGGACTATAAGGCACACTGGATTATAAGGCGCAGTATCAATAATGTTGAATTTTCTCGTCTATTTTCATACATAAGGTGCACCAGATTATAAGGCACATTAAGCTAAACAAACGGACGACTGATCCCTTAGCCCAGGTGTCCACGATCCATTGGCAGATCGTGGCGTAATTCGCCCGGCGTTGCCTCCCTGTCTTGGTGAATGTGTATTATGAATGTGAATGTGGGTGGTTAAATTAAGTTTTATTATTTCCTATGAGGAGAACTCAAATGTACATTGAGAAATAATGTGTTTAATACAGCTTTGTGCACATTTTTTTTAATGTTTTACAGAAACTAAATATAATGCCACATGGCTAATGTGCATAAAACTATAAGCGGCTCCTTGTGCGCTGATGGGGTTGGGCTTCTGTTGGACTTACTCTGCGAGGCTCCTGACTACAGTAGTCGTAAAGCTCCGACAGTCCATCAAGCGGTGCAGCTTCATGGCTTACCAAAGTTGTACTAAAACATTTTGACAGATTTTTGGAGCGCTGTGTACCACATAAAATCGGTTCGAGGTCAGTAAGCACAACCAGAATTAATACATAAGGCGTACTGTCGATTTATGAGAAAATTAAAGGATTCTAAGTGTGCCTTTTAGTTCGAGAAATACAGTAATACTCTACTGTGGAACAATTACAGCCAAAGACATAACATCTCCATGGTGACAAGCAAGTAGCAGACCCTCCAACTTAGAAGTTACATAGTGCACCTTTAATTTCATATAAAGCAATTTGCAGTACTTCGCAAACTGTTGTAGGTTTATAAGGGTGCGTTCACACTTGCACAATTAATACATCAAATTTGGGACTAAACCTGGACTAGACCAGGACTAAACCAGAACAAGAATGGGACCCAAACCAAATCTACATTAGGACTTAAATGGGCCCATAACTGGACCAACCCAGGACCAGTGTGAACGCACCCCATACTGTTCTATACAGATAAAGTGGATTTGGAATGGAGCTAAGACATGTTGAGGCACTGCTGGTAAAGTCAAATTCCCATTCATTTTGTAGGAAAAATATATATTATGCATACAGTTTTATACATTTCTTATTATTTCAACAAAATAAAATAGTTTTCTAAAATTTTTATTGCCAAATATTTATTTATGTTCATTGTATCTGTAATTTCCATTTAATTAATTCCCACAGGGTTGAAGAAAACAACATATATTATGAGTTTAAAGTTATACCAGAGGATGTGTGTCCAAACTTTTGACTGGTAGTGGACAGTGAATAGTTTAAAGGTGCACTGTGTAACTTTTCTGGTAGAGGGTCTGGTCTGTCAAATGCTTTTTTCCATAGAGATGCCATTTCTTTGTCTGGAATGTTCCACAGTATGGTATTAAATCTTTCTAACTTCATGGAGACCGAGCCTGACTAAGGCTACATTTACACTGAAACGAATCACCGTATCACGTATCGGGAAACGATTTACGTCCAGACACGTCGTTTCTGTGTCCGCAAGCCTTTTGTTTACATTTTGCAGAAACTAAACTTAAAACCACATGGCTAATTTGCATAAACTGAGCGCTCAAAAACAGTTCGCTCCTTGTGCGTTGATGCGGTTCAGCTTCAGTCGGACTAAAGGACACGACTCAGTGGATTATGTGTGTTCTTTCTGTGACAGAGGGGTGTTCTGCTGATGGTGAGTCTGTTCTGTGCTTCTATCACATTGGATATGGTTCATGTTAAACTTTTCCAAGATTATACGTCTGCAGGTCGTACGCATAGACCGTATATATGAATGGACATATATTCTAGCCTCTTAGCGTTTTGGTGGTGAATTACTTTGCGGCGCATAGACCTACATCAGAGTATCAGCGTTTTCAGGTGTCCACACAGTACCGGATCAGATCTTCGTGAATTCATGGGAGCTGGAGGCAGCAGATCGTTCCGTCTCTGGAGCCATTTTCCATCGGATTAGTGTGGACGAACAGTGCATCCACAACAAAAACGACTCGAATACGAACTAGTGTGGACGGAGCCTAAGTTACAGGTCAGATCTGTGGAGAGGCAACTCTGCTCACAGTCAGAATGCCTGTTTTTGTAGGTATTTTTGAGCTGTAAAACCACCTGTAACTGAATAAATATAGGTAGAGCTGTTTAAAGTCATACTGTGGAACATTCCAGACAGAGAAACGGCTTGGCATCCACAGAAACAAGCAGGTGACGAACCCCCAACCAAGTTCCAAAGTGCACCTTTAAGTATTTTGTTTGTACCTATATACAACCAAGCACTGTATTTAATCACTATTCGAGTACCTAAGGAGGGTATAGAAGACTTATAATTTAAAAATATATAGCTTCTATTTAAACTCCAGCTGACTGAACAGGAATAATTATGCGCTAAATCACAATGGGGATAATTTGTAAGCTTTTCTGACACTAAACATGACCTGTCAATCAAACGTCTGTAGTGGAGTTGTATTTAAAGCGTTCGTGTAAATCAGGGGATAACACTTGTTAGTAGTGAAAGGTTCGTTAAGGGCAGAGCTATTATGTTTATATTATAGTTTACAGCCACATATTAAAAAACAAAACAAAAAAACAGTTCAAATATTGTACATTTCATTGAGGTCGTCCCAAAATCTGCTGAAAATTAGAGAAAAAAACATGAGTTAACTCTTCATCTTGGCATCTCCAGATACTGCAACTCCAGAATAACTGAGAAATAATGATTTAATTACACAAAACAAAACAAAAAACAACAACGAAATTCGCTTAACTACCTATAAAAATATAATTATCTTGATTAAACTGAATGCAAACATATGAAAAACTTGACCTTCTATATGTTTAAAGGGCTTGTACCTGATTTTTTCCCCCTATGTGTTTGAGTAAAATTGGATTTCCCCAGTAAGGATATATTATTTAAGCGACTCTTGAGGTCATAATAAATCTGCTGTGCACTGTCTGCGTCTTGTCCAATAATCAGGAAGTGCACGTTACCATGCTAGTTGTTAGTTAGTCTTGATAGTTTTACCGCGACAGCAAAACTCTGGTCTCTGAAAGTTGAGAAAAGCGCTTCTAAACTCATCATGGTGAATAGTTAGGAGTAGGGATGTAACGATATCCAAATGTATCGGTACGGTATTTTCACGATATACATCTCAAGGTACGATATTTATTGTGATATTTTGTCAACAAAACTGTTAATATGCGACTTTTTCCTCTTATAATGCCTTGACAAGACTTAATCCAAAGAACTAAGACTTAAAAGTGCTTAGAACTGTTATTTCTTCTTGTAGTCTGCACTGAAATGGAGCAAAGGATCATGGTCTATGTAGTTCCCTCTGTCTTTTTTTTTTTTTTAGCTATTGCTGCACCATAACTCTTCATTTAAGCAAAGAGACTTGTAATTCGATCCATGATATTATTGTGAGAACTTTGACGATACGATATGATGATATTTCGGTTATTGGTTAAATCGGAAAGTGAAGAAAAACTTTGGACCACTGCAAACTATTTAAAAATAAAAGTTTTTCTGATTTTGAGGACAGTAAAAATCAGGTACAGCACCTTTAATTTATCTCTGTTTCTGTTTATGCTTTACCAGACCAGGGTTATTAAAAAAAATAACACATAAAGACATGAAAATATGGCATTTCAGGTATAAACAGAGCAACAGTGACTCATTTGACAGAAGCATAATAGAAAACAATTGATTTTGGTGATTGTTTTGGAGTGGAGGTTGGACTTACCCTGGGTTTAAAGGCGATGAGTTTGAGGATCATCTCCACAGTGAAGAGTCCAGTGAAGAGCATGTTCAGAATGTTCATGGCGTCATTGAAGCTTTTGGTCTGACCGTGATGCTGCAGAGCATTAAAAACACAGCGATTTAGACGATAACAGGCTTCATTAAAGCTGAAATCACAACAATCTGGATTTTCCTATAGTTTAATGGTCAAATATTACGCAAAATTTACTCTTTGTGAGCTTTAAGTCATGTTATAATGTTGTTGCATCTTCCAAAAATATAAGTGGAGTTGTGTTTTGTTTCATTCACACACGTTTGAGTAATCCTTTATTATTAGTCTGTTTATAATTCTAAAGCTTAAAACGCTCTGTTCCACCTTGTGATGTCATGAAGCAGTAGTTTTCAATTTAACAGCAACCTTTTACCTTTTGTTTAGTACAGTTTCGTAATTCCAGAGCTGAAATCATCAACATGATTCAACAGAAGGTGTATGGAGTTTAAAAACACAGTGAAGCACTTCCTGTATTACCATATGACATCACAAGGTGGAACAGAGTGTTTGAGAGAAGAACTCAGCCTAAATATGCAGGGTTTGTGTTAAAAATGTGTGAATGAAAACACAACTCCAGGTCTGTTTGTGATGAGGAAACAACATTAAGTGCTCCACTGTGTTTTTAAACTCTGTACACTGTCACTAGAATAATTATTTCAGCCCTGGAATTAACAATCTCTACAGAACAAAAGGTAAAAAATCTGTGTATCATTCGGTCATTCATTTTTCAAAATAAAACCAAAAATAAGCAAAAGAAAAAATTACTGTTTTCTTCATTATTTGTCTCCAAAACCAAAATGATAAAACAAGATAACGATTTTGGGGTTTTTTTTCAGTTTTCAATTTTGTGTTTAAATGAAGAATGGAAAAAACGGTTAACGGCCGTTTCCCTTTTCCATGACTTAAACTGCGATGCCAGACTGAACCAGGACTGAACCAGGACTGAACCAGGAACTGACAGTGACTGAACCAGGACTGAACCAGTACTAAAACGGGCTAAAACAGGACTAAACCAGAACTAAACTGTTTTCAGTCCTGGTCTGGTCCCAGTCTCAATACTGGTCTCAGTCGTGGTCTGAGCCTAGACTCAGTCCCGGTCTGGTCCCGGTCTGGTCCCAGATCTGGTCCTGGCTTCAGTCCTGGTCTCAGTCCTGGTCCTGGTCCCGGTCTGGTCCCAGACTCAGTCCTGGTCTCAGTCCCGTCTCAATCACGGTCTGGTCCTGGTCTGGTCCTGGCTTTGGTCCCAGTCTCAGTCCTGGTCCTGTCCTGGTCTGGTCCCAGATTCAGTTCTGGTCTGTTCCCGGTCTAAATCCTGGTCTCAGTCCCGGTTTGGTTCTGGTCTGGTCCCAGACCTGGTTCAGTCCTGATTCAGTTCTGCATCGCAGTTTGAGTCACGGAAACGGGAAACGGTTGTTATCAGTTTTTTCTATTATTCATTTAAACACAAAATCGAAAACTAAAAAAACAAATCGTTATCCATTTTTTCATTTTGGTTTTGGAGACAAATAATGAAGAAAATAGTTCTTTTTTCATTTTCTTATTTTCGGTTTTATTTTGAAAAATGAATGAACGAATGATACACACGGATTATAAAATGTCAGCTGTTAACTACCGCTTGATGACATCACAAAGTGGAACAGAGCATTCTGACTTTGACTTATCCTTTATTATTAGTCTGTCTACATCTCCAAACATGTGTGAATGAAACAAACCACAGCACCAGGTCTGTTTTGACAGTTATGACATAAAGCTCAGGAGAGTCAGTTGCTGCGACCTTTAAATAAACAGTGGACGTGACTCACCTGCATGGCCAGACAGATGGTGTTGAGGAGGATGAGGGTGAACATCAGGTATTCGAAGTACGAGGAGTTGACCACGTACCAGACCTTGTACTGATACGGGTTTTTGGGGATGTAGCGACGCAGGGGCCGGGCCTTCAGGGCGTACTCCACACACTGACGCTGGGCACATCAAGAAATTAAAGAGGTTAAAATTACGATAAGGATATTTTTTCTAGGTAAAACAGAGAACAAAACTCCGCTCTGGTCTCTGAAAGTTGTGAAAAGTGTTTAGAAATTCATCATGGTGAATTATCAGGATGCGAGGAATGAGTTAGGAAAGTGAGGAATAACTTTGGGCAGCTGCAAACAAAATATACAGTGAAATCAAGTACAGTGCAGCATCATAAGGTTTATTTATGGAGATTGGATATGGATATGGATTTTTCGGACTATAAATTTCACTTTTTTCATGGTTTGGGTGTTTCCTGCGACTTAGGCTACGTTCAGACTGCAGGGCTTAACGCTCAATTCCGATTTTTTGGTGAAATCCGACGTTTTTTCGAGGTCGTTCACATTTCCAATTAAATGTGACTTGTATGTGACTCCAGTGTGAACAGTAAACGGCCCGAAAGTGTCCCACATGTGACACTGGAGACACGACGACGTCAACCGCAGCGAGCGTCTCTGTGTTTACGGAAGTTGTCCAAACATGGACGTGAGCATTGAGCACCTGGAGATTTTAAAGTTCCTCTCGTACCGGAGCCAAAACATGAACAACTTACTTGTTTTAAGGAGACTGAGAAGGAGAAGGACGAGGTTTTTGGCGGTGGCGACAGCGACATCTGTTTAAAGGAACGTGTGGATGTGGAGACGGAGTCAAGAGTGGTGAGTGGTGATGTGCTTCGCTTCAGTGACACGAGTTCATTAACAATTTTCATCTACTTCAGTCCAGAATAGTGACGTTTGTGGCTTGTTGATAATGTGTAGGTCGAATGAATGCGCTTTGGCCATTCAGACTGAAGTCGCATGTCAAAAGATCAGATATGTATCGGTTTCAGGAGCACATATCCAAGTGTCCTGGGTCACATTTGAAAAAATCGGATCTGTGTCGTTCAGACTGTCATTAAAAGATCGGATACAGGTCACATAGAGGCCAAAAAATCGCATTTGGGTCACTTCAGGCTGCAGTCTGAACGCAGCCTTATACTCCGGTGTGACTTATATATTAAAATTTTCACACTGACAACCCACGAGAGGCTCTAGTCTTATGTGTCAGTATCTGCTGCTCCTGTTACTCCTGCACCACTGTCACTTCACTCTACTGTGCATGTCTCCTGCAGAAAGAGCCTCTGTCCTGCTGCAAGTAGTGAAATATTCATTCGAAAACAGTAATCGAGCAGCAGAAAGAAAGTCTGAGCGAGAAACTTGTGAGGCACTGGTGGAAAGAGGGAATAGAAAACACAGATGTACCTCTACTACTGTCACTTCGCTCTACTGCGCATGTCGACTGCAGAAGAAAGAGAAAGAGCCACTGTCCTGTCTGTATCATGTCAGTCGATCGCAACATTACTTCTGTATCACTGACGATTTAAACAAACATAAAGACAACCAAAACCATCCTGTCGGGATTCAGAAAGGCCGGAATAATTCTAACTGGAACTGATGAAGAGGAAGCGGCGCTCTGTTTACCTCAGGAGGTCGAGGAGTTGCTCAGAAGTGACACCGAGGATGAAGAATTGAATGGATTTAGTGATTTGGAGTGAGATGGAGAGTTTGTTAAACTTGTTCTGTTCTGTTGTTTATGTTATAGTTTATCTGAAGAACTGTTCATATGTGACATTAACAGTCTGTTGTTCTCTCTTCTATTGTTTTTACTATAATTTGCCTTTCAAGATGAAATGTCGGTTCCTGGTCTGATGGCATGTATTTTTTTTATGTTAGCTGAAGGACAAACAAGCTTCATGTAAGGAACAGGAGAAGAAGTCTGTTATTTCCTAAAATTACGTTAAGGAATGTTTATGGACCCCAGCAGACCATTTGTTGTTGCTAAAGTTAACTTGTCCCAGTGCACCTTTATGACTACAGTTGTTGCTTGACCATGTGCTGATCACTCTGTTTGACATGAGCCTCACACCTGTTGTCCACCACAGTGTATAAAAACTCTCCGTTCCTGAGACTCACTCTCTCTGTCGTTGCATGTCGGCAGTAGAGCCAGAGCTCTGTGTGTTTGTATTAAACCTTCAGAAAATGCTCTTGTGGTCCTCACTAGGGATGGGCATTCGATGAAATTTTCTCAATCGATCGTTGGAAGAAATAACGATCGATTATCGATTAATCATTAACGTTTTTATCTTAAAATGATCATCATTATTATTACTATCTGCACTACTAATCTGCATAAATAAATTCAACTTTACGACATATAAACTGTAACGACTCTAGAGCCACATCAGCTGTTTGACATTATAATGTGTTTAATTCAGTTTTGAGCAACTCTCACAGAAACGAAACTTTAAACCGCATCGCTAATTTGCATAAACTCAGCGAAGATAAAACTACAGCTCTTGTGCACTGATGCGGTCAATTTCTGTTGGATTAAAAGACATGATACAGGTTAGTGTGACCATATTTGCGTTTGTTAAAACCAGGACAGCGTACGGGGGGAGGGAGGTGGGGACTCGTCATCGACATTGCGCGACTCTCACCTGGTAAAACTTTTTCCCTCTGGACACCGAAACATATGTGCTGCTTTGTTCACTGTGCACATGGACTCACACTTGTCCCGAACGCAACGGAAAGCCTGGAATTTCTTGTACAAATCATCGTTAAATACACATTTGTGCTTCGGTACATTGCAGACTGACCGACTGTTTGTGTCTCGCTCCTTCTGAGTGCAGAAAGACACATGTACAGACCTGTTTGGTCACACTACACACAGCAAACTACATTCGGTTTCGATTAAAATTAATGTAATCGATGAAATTCTTAATGATCAATTATCGATTAATCGATTAATCATGCCCATCCCTAGTCCTCACCTCTTTTCTTATACAGCAACCAAAAAATCATGATATCATGGTCTCTGATTTTATAAAAAAAAAAAAAAATTCCCCCCAAAAGTGCAACTTGTATATGTTTTTTTTCTTCTTCATTATGCATTTTTTGTCTGTTGTGACTTATACTCCGGAGCGACTTATTATCCGAAAAATACGGTACTTAAATATTTTATAAAGTGATTCCAATTACCAAATTATTTAGGTAATATATTATCTTTTACAGAGAACAAAATATCTTGTCTCTGGAGCAATCTGCTCTCTGATTTGAGCACCATCAACAACTCTGACCTGTTTAAATCCAGGTTCAAAACTCATCTTTTCAGAGCGGCTTTTAAAACTTGACATTTGTTTAATATTTTGAATGTTTTTCTATTGTATTGGTTTTATTGGAAAGCACTTTGGTCTCCTTGAGTGTTGTTAAGGGCTCTATGAATAAAGTTGACTGAGTATTAAAATCTGCTAACTTTGTAGTTTTGACCTCAACAAAAATGAAGTAAACTGCATATAATTCTTGTATTTAACAGTTCAGATTTCACTTTTCTGTAAGTTTTCTGTGTGTTTAATGAACATTGTTAACTGAATCAACGGGAGGAAGCCAGAGTTCAAACTAAATGATAAATAACAACACATCATTTCAATAAGAATAAATAATTGTAGCTTTTAAAACAAGTCAAATTATTACAAAATTTTACCTGGTTCTTGTCGAGCTCACAGTTCTTGTACTCCTGCTCTCCCTGCTCCTGAAACGTGACGATGACGAAACCGACGAAGATGTTCATCATGAAGAAGGCGATGATAATGATGTAGATGATGAAGAAGATGGAGATGACCACGCGGTAGTTGTAGATGGGCCCCACGTCCTCCGCATGAGAGTCTATGGCCCGATACAGCAGCCTGAGCAGAGAAAGAGACAGAGAGAGAGAGAGAGAGGGGGAAGGTGTCAGTTCGACTTTCAAATTGCCCTCTGAACTTTTTCCACCTGCGTTAGAACAAAATCTATTTATATTCAATTAATATGTCTAATCTCACTGCCTCGTTTGGCCAAAGAACTGGACAAATTTAAATGAGAAATGTAAAAGAGACATAAACAGTGTTGGGGAGTAACAGATTACATGTACTGGAGTTATGTAATCAGAGTATAAATTATGAGTAACTGTATTCAGTTACAGTTACTGTTTCAGTGAGAGGTAATTGGATTACAGTTACTTTGTTGAAATAAATGGATTTATTTTCCTGTTTTCACATTTTGGGCTAAACCAGGACTAAAACCAGAAATAAAACCAGAACTAAACCAGGTCTAAAACAGGATTAAAGCCAGGACTAAACCAGGACTAAATCAAGTCTAAACCAGGACTAAAACCAGGACCTAAACCAGGTCTAAACCAGGACTAAACCAAGTCTAAACCAGGACTAAAACCAGGTCTAAACCAGGACTAAAACCAGGACTAAAACCAGGTCTAAACCAGGACTAAACCAAGTCTAAACCAGGACTAAAACCAGGTCTAAACCAGGACTAAACCAAGTCTAAACCAGGACTAAAACCAGGACTAAAACCAGGTCTAAACCAGGACTAAACCAAGTCTAAACCAGGACTAAAACCAGGTCTAAACCAGGACTAAACCAAGTCTAAACCAGGACTAAAACCAGGTCTAAACCAGGGCTAAACCAAGTCTAAACCAGGACTAAAACCAGGACTAAACCAGGACTAAAACCAGGTCTAAACCAAGACTAAACCAAGTCTAAACCAGGACTAAACCAATTCTAAATCAGGACTAAAACCAGGACTAAACCAGAACTAAAACCAGGACTAAACCAATTCTAAACCAGGACTAAAACCAGAACTAAAACCAGGACTAAACCAATTCTAAACCAGGACTAAAACCAGGTCTAAACCAGGACTAAAACCAAAACTAAACCAGGACTAAACCAATTCTAAACCAGGACTAAAATCAGGTCTAAACCAGGACTAAAACCAGAACTAAAAACAGGACTAAAACCAGGACTAAAACCAGGACTAAACCAGGTCTGAACCAGGTCCAAACAATATGACACTAACAGTAGGTGGACATATTTTAAGGCAGCAGTGATCTCATATAAAAATCATTTCTCTATCAATAATATTTTTAATCTGGTGAAGGAAAGACTGGGCTTTTTGTGTCTTTTAGCAGATAAAAAACATCTTTGTCTTTGCTTCTCTACAGTAAAACAAAAGTCTGTTCATGGAGACTTGGGCTCAACAGACAATTTGAAGAGAACAAACAAGAATTTTCAGGATGTCGTTGCTACGTCCATGTAGTTTTAAAAAGCATGACAACATCAAGTAATCCAAAGTATTCAGATTACGTTACTCACTTTAAGTAATTTAATATCTTATGTTACAAACTACATTTTGGGGTATGTAATCTGTAATCTGTAGGGGAATACATTTTAAAAGTAACCTTCCCAACACTGTATATAAAGCAAATACAGTGTTTTAAGTCTTACCCTGGGAATACTTCTGTCAAAAAGATCTTAAGACTCTTGCTCATCAGGGACTTAAAGTGGACTTTGACTTTAAATGCTTTTTGTGACACGGTCAAAGTATTTTTATATTATATTAGAATGTTTTTAAGTAGTAGTAGTAGCTGTTGTTTATTTTCTTCAGTCATGTACTTAATCATGTACTGTTACAAACGTTTCACATAAAACTACGACCAAAGGGGTTCAGGCTGAAGTGAAATCCCTTTCGAATGCCGAACCCTCTTTACAAACGACGATGCCAAGAAACCTTCTGTCAGCAAACAACAAGCAACAGCTTAAATAGCAGTTTTAGAACACCCTAGTTTTTCCAGTTATTTATTACAATTCAACTCGTGCAAGTCCAATGAAGAGCTTGAAATGGTGCAAAGGTAAGAACTGAACAGACAGAGTTTAAAAAATAAAGATAAATGCTAAGAAAACACAAGTCCAAAACTACCTCAGGAAAAAAGAACAAGATGTTAAGTTTGAAAACATGGAGCGTCCAGCACAGTGTCCAGACTTAAACCCCATCGAGCTGGTTTTGGATGAACTGGACAGAAGAGTGAAGCGACCTACAAGTGCCACACATTTATCGAAACTTCTGCCACAGACTTGGGAAGAACTTTCTGAACAATATTTGATTTCTATTGTAAAAAGAACGAACCACGAGTGTGTTCAGCTGTTATATCTGCCAAAGGTGGACGCTTTTATGAATCAAAATGCATTAGAATACGTTTTGGTCAATAGTAAACCATAAAAAACTGGAAAAAGCGTGGTGTTCTAAACCTTTTGACCGATACTGTATATTCACACCATAATAATAACAACAGTTCTCATGAGTTCAGTACAGCAGTGCTTTTGAGTAAACTCTATTTCACTTCCTACATCTAAAACAAAAGTATTCCTTCAAAATCATCAACATTTATCCTATACACTAACCTGCTCCTGTTGCCTAGTCTTATTATTTCTCTATGTAATAAGACTAGCTTTGCTCCTCTAACTGATAAACATCTACTTTTGGTATTAGTCTTGGCCTTTTTAAAAAATATATATATATCCTCCTGTTCCTCTCAAGTTATGTATAAATCTAACAGTTGTTTCTTGTTGTAGAATTGGCTGATCTCACTGGTTTAAGAGAATTTAAGTAATACATTCTAAGAGAAATTAAGTAATTTATCTTCCACGTACATCTCAGTTTAACACTGACTCACAAAAGCTATATTTACATCATGATCTTCTCTTGGCAGACCATTGGCACCATTATCTAAATTGTGGCACATTGCTCTAACCGGTGTCTACTGGCCTTCACAGGCTACGTTCAGACTGCAGGGCTTAATGCTCAATTCAGATTTTTTTGTGAAATCCGATGTTTTTAGCGAGGTCGTTCACATTTCCAAATAAATGCGACTTGTATGTGACTCCAGTGTGAACATAAAAGTGTCCCGCATGTGCACTGGAGACACAATGACGTCAACCGCAGCGAGCGTGCTCTGTGTTTACAGAAGTTGTCCAAACATGGACGCAGCATTGAGCACCTGGAGATTTTAAAGTTCCTCTCGTACTGGAGCCAGAACATGAACAACTTACTTTTTTAAGGAGGAGATTGAGAAGGAGAAGGACGAGGTTTTTGGTCGTGGTGTTTTGTGTGACAGTCCGCTGAAAGGAACGTGTGGATGTGGAGACGTAGCCAAGAGTGGTGAGTGGTGATGTGCTTCTCTTCAGTAACACGAGTTCATTAACAATTTTCGCCGACTTCAGCGCAGAATAGTGACGTTTGTCGATTGTTGATAACGTGTAGGTCGAATGAATGCACCTTGACTGTTCAGACTGAAGTCGCATGTCAAAAGATCAGATATGTATCGGTTTCAGGAGCACATATCCAAGTGGTCTGGGTCGCATTTGCAAAAATCTAATCTGTGTCGTTCAGACTGTCATTAAAAGATCAGATACAGGTCACATAGGGGCCAAAAAATCGGATTTGGGTCACTTCAGGCTGCAGTCTGAACCTTAGTCTCACCACACTTGCCTTATGAAGCTCCTCCAGTGGAAGCAGAGTCAAAGGGGCTTGAACACTCAAAGATCACACTACGTTCACTTTTGAAATCACACTATGTTGACTTTTCATTTCCCCCGGGCTCGTATTATTGATGGTAAATAAACTTCTCCTGCTTAAGACGTCCGGTTGGTCTCCAGCCTTTTTACTTCCTCCCTTTCTTGGACAAGCTGAAAACTTCTACGACAACTGGGTGACCTCACTTTGGGACCTCCCATTTGTTGGTGGGGATATGAGCACCTGGGCTGGCAACCATTTTGTGTTCTGTGGTCCAAAGCAAGAAAAATGACCTAATGAAGACTTTTTTGCCAAAATGTTACTTACTTACCTGTTTGCCTGACGAAGGCCTAGTGCCGAAACGTTGCACGGTTTGTCCTAATAAATTTCACAGTTTGCAAGTAAGACGGTGTGCGGGATTTTTCTGTATGTTCTGGGGCTGCTCCCTCTCCTCCGACGCACCCGTCTCTAGTAGCTGATGTGCGAGGCTCTCATTCTCTCATACCGCCAAAATGTTACTTAAAAATTTAAAAAAGCCTTTGGACATCAGCCATCTGAGTGTGCTGTGCATTTTTTCACTTTTAAATTCCTGCTCCTTGCGTTTGCACCTCTACAAGAACTTTTCTGTTTCACTGAAGTCTTACCCAGGCCAGCCCTCAAACGTGGACACAGCAAACAGAGCCATCATTCCCTGAAGCACGTCGTCAAAGTTGAAGTCACTGTTCTCCCAGTGTCTCTGCGCTCGCTCCGGTTTCCCCACATCTCCATCTTTATACATGATGTACGAGCCCCTGCACAGAAACACATGGGTTATTATTATTATTATTACATGTACTCACATTGATCACATACGGTTTGTGTTTACAGACAAAATACTGTATTTTACAACAAAAATATGTGAAGGAAGTGTTTTCAGTCACGCAGTGTGGTGTCCAGATAGAAAACATAACTATTCTAATGGGGTAATGGTCTATGGACACAAGCAGATGAGAATAACAAGCCAAGTTACAGCTCAGATCTGTGGAGAGGCGACCCCACTAATAACAATCAAGCTTTATTTCAGACTCCAGTTGACCCATATAAAAATAAAGCATATTTTTAGTGTGTTTTTGAGTGACGAATACAGCCCTACAAAGGCAGAACACCATAATATCATGTTTGGTCAAAAAGAATTTCATGTAATTTTGTTTGTATTTGAGATCTTCTTTATCACGTGAATAAATATCGTGAAAAATACTGAGCTCGAAACTGCCCTTTGACCCTTATTTGTCAGTTCCTGTTCTCTGCTTTTGTATCATGAGCCAAAAATAAGGAGTCGCGCAAAGGCAAAAGACAGAAACAGTGTTTTGTTTGCGATTTAGTTCATAAATATATGTTGTTTTAAAGTCCAACCTCTCACCTCCTTTGATTTGTTGCGGCCTTGGCACAGAGTCTTAACGCGTTAAATAAATCTACTTTTGTATTTAATTATACTTACTGTATTTTAAGGGCTATTAGGCGCTCTGGATTATAAGACGAAACCGCAAATAAACCGCACCGGACTTTAAATGAAACACAACAGTTGGATGGGTCAGTGGTTTTGTTTGTTTGTTCGTTCACGGTGACTCTGGGCTTTGTTCAGTTGTGGCGTGTAGGGAGGTGCTGTCTGGGATCAACTGGATTGTCGGCGTGTTCGCAGTGACTCAGTTGTTCAGTCGTGTCTAGAAGTGGCACATTGCACTCGCTTTTTCGGTTCGTTCCTCCGTTCCGTTCCTCGTCGGCGTGGAGTGATGAGTGTGTCTGTGGGTGTTTTTCGCTGTGCGGTCGCTGTCTGCTCCATGTGTGTTTGCGTGCGCTGCAGGCCGCACCGACTTTGTAGTTTACTGAAGTCGTGCTGGGACACCTGAGTGGATTTGTGTATGGGGCGCTCTAGCTTACGGGGCCATTTTTTGATGGGGTTAGAGGCTTAAGAGCGCGTCTAATAGCCCGCAAAATACGGTAAATGATCTTTAATGTGAAAGTATTTGGTATATTTATTCATATTATACATATTATACTGCAAAGTCACTCGTCTGTCAAACTGTTTAACTGTGTAAGTGTTGCTGCACGATCCTGATCTGCAAAAACGATACGATATCATCACGGTATGAATCTCACGGTACGATATTTATTGTGACATCGTGGGAAAGCTCTCGTTACGGCGGGGAGGCTCACGATTAAGGATGTAACAATATCCAAATCTCTCTGTACGATATTTTCACGACATACATCTCACGGTACGATATTTATTGCGACATTTTGTGGAGGCTGCGAACAAAACTGTGAATATGCGACGTTTTCCTCTTAAAATACCTTGACAAGACTTAATTCAAACTTAGAAGTGTTATGTCTTCTTGTAGTCTGCACTGAAATGGAGCAAAGGATCATGGTCTATGTAGTTCCCTCTGATTTTTTTAGCTATTGCTGCATCATAACTCTTAATTTAAGCAAAGAGACTTGTAATTCGATATATTGTGATGGTCCACGATATTATTGTGAGAACTTTGACGATACGATATCACGATATTTTGCTTATTGTTACATCCCTAATAAACAGGAAATCCAAAGCTCTTTTATATAATTTCAAACAAACCCCATGATGACTCGACTTTGGTGACGTTTTCTTATAACGGATGGAAGTCTGGGAAAAATCAAGCAAATCAATGATCATGTCAGTTTCTGCTTTTTGCCTTTGCACAACTCCTTATTTTTGGCTCATGACACAAACGCAGAGAACAGGAACTGACAAATAAGGGTCAAAGCTCAATATTTTCTTCATTATAGCAACTATTTGTCAGATTTTGGGAGCTCGACCTATTATACTTTCGTCTGGACAAAACAGAAACTTTAAAGTCATTTTTCTCAGCTTCACACTTTTGCCTTTATAGGGCAGAATACACTGGTAGTCAGATGAAGTTTAATGTCATACTGCGGAACATTTCAGGTAAAGAAAACACATCTCCATGAAGACAACGAGTAAAAAATAAAAAAAAGATCACGTGTAAATACAGCAGTTTCTTACCTGCAGTCTGCCTCAGTCTGTTTCGAGCTGTCGGTGCAGAAGAAAAACTTGCCCTGTTAAACAAAACAGAGGAATTTATCAGCGTTTATTATTTCCACAAACTTGAACAATGTTTTTTTTTTTTTTTTTGTCTAAGTTACAACAGCTAAAATTGTCTGGTGGTGTTTATTTCGTCGTTTACCTTGAAAAGCTGCACTCCGATACAGGCGAACATGAACTGGAGCAGTGTGGTGACGATGACGATGTTCCCGATGGTTCGGATGGCCACAAACACACACTGTACTACATGCTGTGGAAGAAAATCAGAATATTATCAAATACTGCGTACTTTTTTATGTAGGTAGTAAAGAAATGGTGAAGTATAAAAAAGAAATTGATGAAACTGTATGAACTGTAAACTGTAAATCTGATATATAAATGTTTTTGTAATAATCTTATTTATACATTTTAAAGTATAAATGATGTAAATATAAAAAAACACATCCTTCAAAATATTGTGAGGTACATAAAAGTCTACATCAAGGTTTTGAAATTAAAAAGAAAATATAATGCAATGGTTTTCAGAAGGTGAGGGGGGAGGAGCGACACACACGGACTAAACCAGGACTGAACCAAGACTGAACTAGGACTAAAACAGGACTATAATAGGACTAAACCAGGACTGAACCAGGACTGAACTAGGACTAAAACAGGACTATAATAGGACTAAACCAGGACTGAACCAGGACTGAGCCAAGACTGAACCAGGACTAAACCTGCACTGATCCCAAGACTAAACCAGGACTGAACCAGGACTGAACTAAGACTAAAACAGGACTAAACCAGGACTGAAGTAGGACTAAAACAGGACTAAAACAGGACTGAACCAGGACTGAACCAGGACTGTAACAGGACTGAATAAACCAGAACTGAACTAGGTCAAAAACAGGACTAAAACAGGACTATACCAGGACTAAACCAGGACTAAACCAGAACTGAACCAGGATTGAGTGTCGGGACAGGCCCGGAGGTGTTTAGTCCTGGTTTAGACCTGGTTAAACCCGGTTTAGTCCTGGTTTAGACTCGGTTTAGTCCTGGTTTATACCCGATTTAGTCCTGGTCTAGACCTGATTTAGTCCATGTTTAGACCTGGTTTAGACCTGGTTTAGTCCCGGTTTAGACCTGGTTTAGTCCTGATTTATCCTAGTTTAGACCTGGTTTAGTCCTGGTTTAGTCCAGACATAATGTAATGGCATAAAAGTGCAGAGTTTAGAAAAATAACACTAAAAAAAATTTAAACTGGTGCAAAATATGAAAATGTGAAAAGAACTATAAATGCAACAGAACAAATTGTATTTATTAATTAACCACACAAAGAAAACACAAAATTATATCAATGAAAAACAGAGTTAAATCCATTTTCTCACCTTTAACCCTTTGGCTCGGTTGATGGCTCTCAGTGGTCGAAGAACTCTCAAAACTCTCAGGATCTTCACCACATTTATGGCACTGGACCTGAAAATTACAAGATTAAAAATAAGAAAAACACATCTCCAAAAAAACACCCCGACTTGGCCAAAACAGAACCCAGCTGATACGAAATAATAAAACTTAAAGAAAATCCAAACTGAGGTAGAATTTGACAACTTGAACCCAAACAATACAGTCAAAGGTACAAAACTTACAACACCAAATACAGTATGTCTAAAATCTTTCAAATGAACTTAAATAAATATAAATTACTACAAAATACTCATAGAAACACACATAGAAACGGACTGTAGACATCATGATAACAACAGACGGATGAGTACAGAGACATAGACACACGTACAGGCAAAGGAAAGGCTACTGTGCTGCAAGAGAAAAAGTGTCTCAAGCTAAACAGAATCAAAATATATATATATAGGCTAGAGGAAAGGAAAGAGCTACAGGGATATAATAACATTTTGAACGGACGAGACCTGCTAAAGTTGAGGTTTTCAGAAGTATCGGAAATCAGACAGGGATCGATACTAAAACTAGGAACGAAAGTAGAGGCTCATTTGAGTTTTAGAACGATTTTAAGCTGTAAAAGAACAAGTATAAGAGGACGTAGACTAGTATATACACCCACGGACCACGGACTAAACCTGAAGTACTATTATTTAGAGGTGCACTGTGTAAATTTTCTGGTAGGGGATCCGCCACAAGTTTATTTCCATGGAGATATGATTACTTTTCCTGGAAATAGATGAGTTTAAAGGGACAGTTTGGAATTTTGGACATAAGACGTCATTTCCTAGTGATCCAGAGTGTTGGAGACGTGTGGAGACACTTTTTAAAAAAAATATATATTTTTTACTATTTTCTCATATATCAGTCCACCGCTGCCAAGTTTTAGTAAGTAAGTCTTTATTTATATAGCGCTTTCACAGACATTTCTGTCCCCAAAGACGCTTTACACTTTATTCAGCATTTTTCATTTAACTTTCATTCATTCAGCATTATTCATTCACTCTATACCCTACTATTGTAGCCACAGCTGCCCTGGGGCACACTGACAGAAGCGCGGCTGCCATGACACTCGGCGCCATCGGTCCCTCTGACCACCACCATCACTCACGCACACACCACTTTCATACTAGGCAAATTGGGCGAAGTGTCTTGCCTAAGGACACAATGATTGAATTGATTGTATTTAACTGACCTTGACTATCAACTGTTTATGGAGACCTGTGCAGCATGTTTTGGGTTTTCTATCAGGAAGTACAACTCGCTACTGCTGCTCAGACATAAATCCTTCAAATTCAAGGTTGATTTTACTTCTAAAATTATTCTATCAACACAGACATTCACATGGACAGTCTGGTGTAATTATATATTTGCTTTGGGTGTTTTGTGGAAGTGGGTAAGACTGTTTTTAGTGGCAGGATAACTATGACCATTGACATGCACTAGCCTAGCACCAGCGACCTCTGCAAATACAACGACTGGAATATTTTTTAAAAAGTGTCCGCACATGTCTCCAACACTCTGGTTAAATAGGAAATCAGGTTCTATATCCAAAATTCTGGACTGTCCTTTTAGTACCGTACTGTGGGACATTCTAGACCAGACCTGAGCATTGTACAACTCCCGGGTCCTTTGGTTGACTCTGACCGGTCTGTTTAAACTCATTTGGTACTACAAAATAAACCTATTTTATAATTTTACCTCATGAATGGACTAAGGTTTATTGCTTTTATCTTAGAGGTGTTTTTAATGACATTTTTATAAGGCAGCCTCACTTTTTCATCACTTAGTCATAACATAAACTCTAACCGGTCTTACCGACTCGTCATAACAATGATATTTACTGCTTTTTATAAAGAAAAATCAATATCATGCAGAATTAGGTGAAGCGTTTTGGTCCGGCCCTCCACAATATTTTCTGTTTCTCTTGTGGCCCATCCCTGTTCTAGACAAAGCCATAACATTTCCATGAAAGCAAGCAGGTGACGGACCACCTATACCAGAATGTTAAACAGCGCACCTTTAATGTTGGAAATCACATTCTATTGCCTAAATAAAGTGTTTTTAAAAAAAATAATCATCATGGTATCGGAATCGGTTTTGAGTATTGCGTTTACTACTTTGAAATTTTAGTATCGTGACAACACCGGGTAACACCGAGTCTCAATTCAAAATGTCACTGTATCCCGCTAGAAAACTGTAAAGAGAGTTAAAAAGAGTAGGTCGAAAACACAAAGGTGATTTTGGTGTTACTGTCAAACTGAAGTGCTTCAACAGAAAGAGGAAAGAGGTCGGTGAAGATTTGTGCATTTTTGAACAGAGGAAAAGTTTAAGGCTGTTAAAGGCACTGTGGAAGGTCAGATATTATCTTGAAAACGCCACAGTCAGATTAGTTGTGACACTGACAGCGAACTAAAGGTTAGTTAAAGCTGATCGCCCATTAACCAGGAAGTTTGGGGTTTGATTCTCCCTAACAGCAAAGCACCACAGGGATGCGATCTTGCCCCATCAGTGTTTCCTGAGTGAACTAATGTGAATGAAATCCAGAGAATCTTGTTTTTTTTTTAATAAAGTACTCTAAATTATTATCACTACTAGGCCTGTCAAATCCATGTATCATTCGTTCATTTGTTTTTCAATATAAAACCAAATATAAGAAAATGAAAAAACAACAGTTTTCTTCATTATTTGTCTCCAAAACCAAAATGAAAAAACGGACAACGATTAGTTTTTTCAGTTTTCGATTTTGTGTTTAAATGAAAAATGGAAAAAACAGATAACGGTCGTTTCCCGTTTACGTGACTTCCGTGACTGCGATGCCGAACTTTTGCGCTGCATACAGACTGAACCAGGACTGATCCAGGTCCGGGACCAAACCAGGACCACACCGGGACCAGAGCAGGACCAGAGCAGGACCAGAGCGGACTCGGAGCTTTGACTCCGAGCCTCTGCAGGATCCGAGCCTCAGCTTCAAGCTTCGGCCTTGTTGTGGGCTCTGAGCCCCCACTCTGGTCTCAGTCTCAGTCTGGTCCCGGTTTCAGTTCTAATCTCAGTCTCGGTCTCAGTCCCGGTCTCAGTCTCACTCTGGTCCTGGACCTGGATCAGTCCTGGTTCAGTCCGTATGCAGCGCAAAAGTCCGGCATCGCAATCACGGAAGTCACGTAAATGGGAAACGGTCGTTATCCATGTTTTCCATTCTTCCTTTAAACACAAAATCAAAAACTGAAAAAACAAATCGTTATCTGTTTTTTCATTTCGGTTTTGGAGACAAATAATGAAGAAAACAGTTGTTTTTTCATTTTCTCATTTTTGGTTTTATATTGAAAAACGAATGAACGAATGATACACAGATTCTGTCACAATAACAACTTTAGAATTTTGTCATAAAAAAACATGAGCTGCGATAAATAAATAGCAGAATGCAATTTGATTCTATAGTTTTAGTTCATAATTCAACCCTCTACAGCTCAAATTGTATCATATTGCAGAAAAACAAACTAAAAATCCCTTCTAGCGGAAAGAAAAAAGGTATTACTTACAAGCATTCTATTGCAATTTACTAGTAATTTCAACAAAAACATTTATTTTTCTATAATTTTTAACTCAGCCTTGACTTGAGCTTGAGGCTACAGGTGTGTTTGAAAATGTACTAAACTATAATTTCTAGTCTTTTCTGCTCCATTTTTCTTGTTTTTAAATAAATGATAAGTAAAAAAGAGTAATAATTAGAAAACAAACAATATAGTAAATTATCCTCTGACAAATAATGTAATTTTAGTAGATACTGAAATCAAAATGTAAATCTACACAGAGCATGTAATCATAAACTACCTATTTCTGCACTCGTTTTTAAATTTTAAGAAGTTAAACTAATGTGTTCGTGTCACAATTAATTTGATTGTTGTGTATTTTAAGACAAATCAGACAAACCTTTAACGGGCAAAAATTAAGTTCAGCATTCAGATCTCATTTCTATAGCTCAGGAGAGTTCTTCCACACACAACAATGTCATGTTATTGTACGCAGTGAAAGGTAATTTAGCATTTATAAATGAATGATTTTTATATGAATTTGCATTTATTGTAGTGTTTATAAATAGACCGGTTATTGATGAAAATTGTTTGGAATAAATTTTGAAATCATTACTTTTTAAATGTCATTAACCAGCTGCAAACATTTAGTCAACTCTCCCGGACTACAGAAATACCAAATCAAAATTGTGAACGTTTTACACATTGAAGTGAGGGTTTGTAATTAATATGGACCATTTTGGACTTACTTCGAGAAGTCTAGACTATAAGGCATTAGAGAAGGAGAGTGTGGTGTGTCAGGTTAGATATCAGCTCAGCATTCAGTCAAAATATTACCCACATTTAAACAAATGTGTCATAAAAGTTAATATTATCAGATAATAACAAATAACAACACTTCATTTTACACAACACTTGATACATAGCACCTAACTTATTAAGTACAATGTTATAAACTGTGTAACAACCTGTAATAACATGGTAATTACATTGTAGTTGATTAAATGTTTCACTATACCTTATATTTGAATGAACTGTTGCTATATAGTTATTCTGTACTGTATAATACATGCTGAAACAATGTGTAATAACATGGTAATTACATTGTACTTGATTAAATGTTACGTCTGCCTAATGTTTGAATTACCTCCTATTTCATAGTTAAGTACAATGTAATGCACTGTTTAACAACCTGTAATAACATGGTAATTACATTGTACTTGATTAAACGTTAAACTATACCTTATCTCTGAATGAACTGCTGTTATATAGTTATTATGCTGTTATATAGTTATTATGTACAGTATAATACACTGAGAAACAATGTGTAATAACATAGTAATTACATTATACTTGATTGGTTGTTACACTATACCTTATCTTTGAATGAACTGTTGTTATAGTTATTCTGTACTTTATAAATACATTGTGTAACAAACTGTAATAACATGGTAATTACATTGTACTTGATTAAACGTTAAACTATACCTTATCTCTGAATGAACTGCTGTTATATAGTTATTCTGTACTGTATAATACATGCTGAAACAATGTGTAATAACATGGTAATTACATTGTACTTGATTAAATGTTACGTCTGCCTAATGTTTGAATTACCTCCTATTTCATAGTTAAGTACAATGTAATGCACTGTTTAACAACCTGTAATAACATGATAATTACATTGTACTTGATTAAACGTTAAACTATACCTTATCTCTGAATGAACTGCTGTTATATAGTTATTATGTACAGTATAATACACTGAGAAACAATGTGTAATAACATAGTAATTACATTATACTTGATTGGTTGTTACACTATACCTTATCTTTGAATGAACTGTTGTTATAGTTATTCTGTACTTTATAAATACACTGTGTAACAAACTGTAATAACATGGTAATTACATTATACTTAATTAAATGTTACACTATAGCTTATGTTTGAATTACCTGGTATTACATAGTTATTAAGTACAATATAATGCACAGTGTAACAACCTGTAATAACATGGTAATTACATTGCATTTAGTTGGATGTTAAACTCAAATTACAAGTTATTACAGGTTGGTTACACAGTATGTTATTTTCCACTTGTAATAACATGGTAACTACATTGTAATAAGTGATTATGTTCAGGCTATAAGTTATTACAGGTTGTTTAAACAGTATTTTACAATGTACTTAAGTTGTAATAACCTTGTAATTATATAGTACTTTGCATAATGATTAGTGTGCAGGTTACATGTTATAAGAGGTTGTTACACAATTCATAACATTGTAATTAATTAGTATAGGTACAATATATCAAGTGCAGTGTAAAACAACACTTTATAATAACTACACCTTAATTAGCCATATTAAAAGATGAATAAAGACTTAATTAATAATGAACAAGTACTCAATTAAGGATGATTCAGGCTTGGTAACTAATTAATACTTACTGAACCTGAATTAAATGTTTCTTCATTATAAATTAAGTCTTAAAGATGTAAAAAAAAAAAGGGTAGTTATTATAACATATTATCAAGCAGTGTTGCCATAATGATGAAGCAAAATGAAAATTCAAACTTACTGTATTCCTGATGAAATGAGGGACACACTGACAACCACCAGGTCCAAAATATTAAAATAGTTTCTGCAAAATGAACCCTTGTGCAAGAAAGCTCCATAGGCCGTCATCTGCGCAAAGTTCACAAAACCACAAGTCAAAAAGGTCAGAAGTTTAGGGAATTCTGAGCAGGAAGATTAAATAAATGCATGTATGATTACCTTTAGAATAATCTCGATAGTGAAGAGGCCAGTGAAGACGTGATCTGCATAGCCCAAGATCTGAAAAAAAGAAAGAGGAAGCAGAAAAGTGAAAAACATGAAGATAGAAAGGTTCAACTGTAATGACATGTCTTTAATACTCTTCTATGGAGTATTAATTGTAAACACATTTAGATTATTGTTTAGTTTATGGGTCTCAAACTCAAATTACTTGGGGGGCGCTGGCGGTAGAGTGTGGGTGAGGCTGGCCCACATCAAGTAGGCCATTCGACAAAATTGTATTTGTTTATTTAATTCACTCACAAAGTATAAAAAGACATCAACAGTGACACAACATCAGATATACAAGAAATGAATGAAAAGGAGCAGAAAGAAGATTTATTTTATGTTATCTGCCTCCTTTTCCCTTTTCTAGACAAAACATCAACACTGATAGTTATTTTAAAACATTTCAAATCAGTACATTTCAGTTCAGGCACAATTATTAATCAGTTGCAAACAGAAATCTTCTCTATTATGGATAACAACTTAGTTTTCTTTTTCATACACACATTGCTTTAGATTTTATGTATTTTTAAATGTCATTGTACTCTTTTATATCTTTCTCAAGACTATTCCATAAGTTAAACCCTTTCACAGAAATGCTTCACTTCATAACCTTGGTTCTGAATCTGGGTTTGTTAAACATGTAGGATCCTTTTAAACTGCAGTGGCTTGTTCTCGTCTCAAACAATCTTTGAATATTTACAGATAATACATTGCACTTTACTTTATACATTACTTTGAGGAGACTTAAAGGACCCATCTCATGCAAAATAACTCTTTTCACATTGTATCTTCTGCACATAAACAAGCAGAATTTGGGTTTTGGAACATTCATTACACAATAGTTATGAAATCTGACTGATTTCTTGGAGGCAGTCACAGACCAGGAACTATGAAAGGCCGACTATTGTTCATCCCCCCGCCCGTCCTGAGAAAGCACAGGCTCCGCCCTCCAAACGTGACGTAGGCTCTGAGTGAGCCACCCTTCCTCCGCCATCTCAGGGAGGGAGGGGGAGACAGGCGTGCACCCTGATAGTGGTAGGAATAAACTTTTATTCATCATGGAGATACAGCGCGTTCAGCCGCATGTGTTGGACCCGGAATCGGACGAGGACTTGGAGGTGAACGAAGCGCAAGCACCGCGTCAACATCAGCTGAACATTACTGATTGGTAGGTCTGCCAATGAGGAGGAGATGGGGCTGAAGCGGTGGAGCAAGGGGAGGGGGCGGGTGCAAAGTGCTTTTTCTGCTATGTCAAACATCAATCATAGGTGTAGCTGCCGCGTCAGCATTGTAGCAGCTTTAGTTCGTTGTCACATGGGAGGGTGGCAGAAATACATTGCAATTTGTTTAAAAAAAAAGCCAAATCAATCTAGAAACCACTTTGGCGACAAATACAAGGCCTACAGGTCACTCTTAGAAGGTAGAAAGCTCTGAAAAGTTGATTTTGCATGAGATGGGCCCTTTAAGTAAACAATATTATGCATTTCAAGTATTAAAAAAAAAACGGAAACACAGGATGGAGCATGGTTTTCACGTTGCCAGTCAATTACACCTGGAGGAGGTGCAGCATTGAGAAGGTAAACAGGCTGTCGGTGACTTTTTTATTACTTATCACCCCTAAATGTCCCATACTTATGACTGAGGGATTCTTGTCAGCACTTCCTGTAAATCTTTGCTCTGATATCAAAGTTTTGGGAGCAAAATGGTGCAGGGCAAGCAGAAGCACAGGGACCAGCAAGTGCAAGTTGTTTTGGTTCTTCATCGCTGCACACTCATAAACAGATCCACCTGGACTCAAAGCTTCACAACTACTGAAAATTTGGGATGAAATGTGCACAAATCTGCTGTTCTGAATCTACAGGGGCACTAATCTGCATTTTCGTTGACATCAAGTATAGGACCGCAAAATATTATTCCGCGGGCCACAGTTGGACTCCAGGCCATGACTTTGAGACCCCAATTTAGATTATTATTATTACTTATTTAGAACATCATGTTACCTTCTGTTGTCTTGAAAATGCTATATTTGCCAAAAACAACATATTGAAATTTGATAAGTTTCAGTTTTGTTTTCAATGCTCAGTCCCTGCTCTCTGCACTAAGTCACTCCCCCTCCAGAGCACTATCAGAGCACAATCAGTGTGTATGTATTTTGTTGGGGAAGTATGGGCTATGTAAGTTTTGTGGGCTTAAGCTTTGGACAGGACTGTACTTTTCACCGTAAGGAGGTTTGAATAGAGCCTGGGAGAGATCGCTAAATTACTCAGAGATGCATGGATGACATCTAAAACATCTTCAGGCATATTTCTGATGAGGGAACAACATTAAAACAAAATTTGATATTACAGAACGCATTGATGTATAAATATATAAATAAGCCTTGTAAGTTATTTGTAAAGCAATAAAGCAAAAGCAAAAACACAAGTTATGTAATACAGAGATAAACTACAGGTCGTTTATTGTGTGGAAAATAAAATGGTGTGAATAATAACCCGTCTCAACAAAACTAATAAGAGGTAAACAATGACATCAATCACACCTCCATCTTATGTCATTGCCTAGAAGAAAGTTAACATCTCCTCACACGTTTATGTAACTGTTAAGTCTGTCACGATAATAATTTTTACATATTCTTATCATTATCGTTCAATATATGAAAGCTGGTGCAATGTTTTTTAGTGTGTACATTTTCTTTGCAAAATTAGGATATTTTTGGTTATCTTGTTGGCTATATGATGAGATTTAATCTGTAAAAGGTTTAATTAAGTCTATGGACGGCCAGAGCGGTGCTGGTGCTGGTTCCCGCACAAGTTAAACTGAGAACCAAAGTGCTCACGGGTTGAAACTATTTAAGTCAGGGGTGTCAAACTCATTTTGGTCCGGGGGCCGTATCCAACCGATGATGATCAAAGGGGCCGGATCAGAAAACTCATGTCATATAAACCCCAAAAATAACAATAAGTTCAAATATTTGTGCAGAGAAACACAAATCTATTACAGAAATCTTTTTAAATTGATGAAGTCTTTCTTTTACAAAATATTATAATATTATGAACAACCTGAAACTTTAAGAAAAATACAATTTGAACACAATTTTTTAACATGAACTTGTTTAACATTAACTTGTATAAATAGGAATAAGTAAATTTTTCTTCCTGCACTCGGCTCCACTTTTCTCATTTTGGACATTTTGCTGATGAGGGTGTCACGGTCAACAATTATAACGATCGTCCTTTAAGAGCGTTTGGAAAGAGACAAGTCTTCATTTGTGCTGCTCTGGTGGGAGGGGCCACGTACAGAGACACTGGAGACGCTGCTGTGATAAACACCACAGAAAATGTACAATATTTTAATAAAAAATAGAATTAAAATATTTTAGTAGAAAATCAGCCGAGGGCCAGATTAAAGGTCTTGGAGGGCCGGATCCAGCCCCCGGGCCGCATGTTTGACACCTGTGATTTAAGTGAACCCATGATGTGTCACTGACAGAGGGTATGGACTTGCCATCAAATAAAAACAAGGCCATATGAAAGTGGACGTCACAGCAAGGAAAATAAAAATCATGGATCGCATCACTGACACCAGCGAACATTTGTACTCATACAAATCACTATTTACCTGCACCAAACTAATGTTACAACATCTGCTGTGGAGAAGGTAACAGCGACGCCAAATCCAAAGATATCCTTAACGGGTGATCGCGAATATAGCAAATATCTGTTCTTTTCTGCTGACCATCTTCTTGTCACTTGATTTCTCCACCATATTCCACACATGTGTTTTCTTTGTTTATTTTACCACGTGCGACTCAAATAGGAACCAACTTTTAGGTTCCCGAACGCTCTGATTTTTAGCGCGAACACGTCGGTCGGTTCAAGATTAAGTGCAGGATTGGGCACAGTTCTCTGTAGGCCTGAAAACGCTAACAGAGTCTAGCAGTTATAGGGGCGAATGTGGAGCAGAGTTCCGTATTAGGAGTAGGAATTTATTCACTGACAAAATCAGGCATGTTCCAAACTATGGCCCATGGACCAAATGCGGCCCTCAGACAAATTTTTCTTGGCCCTCAGGCTTCCAGGAGAATTGGCCCAAATGATCTTGCATCAATGAAAAATTAACTTTTTATTGCAAGGTTTTTGAAAATCTCTCTTATAAAGCGAATATTTACTATTTCGTGTGTGGTTTTGAGGATCTTAGCGTAAATAAAGACTGATGGCTCATTCTAACGCGTTTAAACATGCACATATTTCAATTATTCACTGTACTGATCCCCAGTCTACGGCCCTCGATCGGCCCTCTGCTTTGTCTGTGTTTAGATATGTGGCCCTTGATGAAAAAACGTTTGGACATCCCCTGGACAAAATAGTAAAATAGAAACACAAGGATCATGCAGGGTCGGTTAATACGAACATTTAACAAACAGAATGACGAGACTCACTGCAGAAGTTACAGAGAGAGAGGTGACAAAATTTTAAGTCAATTTGAGGCACAGTCCATTAAACCAGAAACTCCCCTGTGCTCACTTCCTATTTGGAACGTGGCTTCTAGCGGTTTACCTATGTCCGTTTATATGTACAGTCAGAGTTGGTACAGACCTGGTTCCTGAAGGAGTCGTTCTTGACGGGGTCCTCGGCTGCCAGGCTGATACTGGACAGCAGGATGAAGAACAGGATGAGGTTGGTGAAGATGTTGTGGTTGACGATTTTATGACACAAAACCCTGAATCTGGAGAGAAAAAAAACAGAGGAGCAGAAATGTAAAAACGTTAGACTGATCAAATGTTTAACAAAATGGATTACTGGAAAAGATCGTAATAACACTTATCTTGTCTTGTAAATGTTTTTGTTTTAGTAGGCTACTTTTTACCCACAAAGCTAAATGGGTCGCAATTTTGGCAGGTATTGGTAGTAGTTTATATTTGGTAGTAGTAGTAATACTTTAGTCATTGGGTCGTTCTTGGCAATTTCCAGAAAGATGTTCAATAATTCCAAGTTTGTGGCACTGTGAGACATGGCTACAGCTACAGTACACAAAACTAATCTGATTTATCTTCAGCTATTTAATTTCTCTGAGCCTTTTAATGCATTTTTACGTCTCTTTATGGAAATTACATCAGCAGCAGACTATAAATATCCAAAAAGTTTAAAAAGTCCTCCATTTGCCTCGTCACGATACTACCATAACTAAACTGCTGTGACTGTTTTGTGTGTTGTGTTACTCTGTGTATCGTCTCACTTGTTGGTGTGGCTGAATATAAAGAAGGCTCTGGCCTCGGGCATGGGCACAGCCTTCTCCTTCAGCTGGATGTCGGACAGAGGGCGCGGCCTGGGTCCAACGGGCATCTCTGGCTCCTCGTCGTCATCGTCTCCTGAGAGAGATGTATTTAAGCAACATGAATAAAAGTCTGGACATGAGTACGAGTTCATTTACCATATTTTTCAGACTATAAGTCGCACTTTTTTCCATGGTTTGGGTGTTTCCTGTGACTTATACTCTGGTGTGACTTATATATTAAAATGTTCATACTGACAACTGTGAGAGGCTCTAGTCTTGTGTGTCAGTATCTGCTGCTCCTGTTACTTCTGTACCACTGTAAGTGTCTCTACTGTGCATGTCTCCTGCAGAAAGAGCCACTGTCCTGCTGCAAGTAATAAAATATTCAGCCAAAAATGGTAATCGAGCAGCAGAAAAGAAGTTAGAAGTGAGCGAGAAACTTGTGAGTGACTGGTGGAAAGCGAGGATGGAGAACACAGCTTCACGGTAACCGGGATGGTGCACCATGCAACTTTGCTGGAAATCATTGGATGGATCGACAAAGCCTGGACTTCAGTGACACCGAAACTATGCTGTCGGGATTCAGAAAGGCCTAAATAATTCTAACTGGAACTGATGCTGCATCTGAAGACAGCTACACACGCTCTGTTTACCTCTGGAGGTCACAGAGTTACTGAGAAGTGACACCGAGGATGAAGAATTGAATGGATTTCGTGATTTGGAGTGAGATGGAGAGTTTGTTAAACTTGTTCTGTTCTGTTGTTTATGTTATATTTATCTGAAGAACTGTTCATATGTGACGTTAACAGTCTGTTGTTCTCTGTTCTATTGTTTTTACTCAAACTTGACTTTCAAGATGAAATGTTGATTCCCGGTCTCTGATTTTATAAAATACATTTCCTCCAAAAAATGCGACTTATTGTCCGGTGCGACTTATATTCCGAAAAATATGGTTCTGTTCTGATGGGATGTGTCAAACTTGATGTTTCATTTGGTGATGTTTCAATTTCAAAAACTACCATGTCATAAAAACAAAACATACCAACATACCAGTGCGCGTATTGTATTATTTTTACATTTTATTCTTATCTATTAAAAAATACATTGGATGGATATCTTAAATTGTAAGCACTATACTGTAGTAAGCCTTGTAACTTGTAACTGAATATGACTGCACTGACATTGACTCTAACTTTTATCACCATACTGAAACATGAAAACAATAATACTACTTTACCCATATAATCGTTTGCAGGATATGGATTCTTATCTTCGTTTTCATCCACAATGTAATCGTCCATGTTGATCTGCAGAAAAACAAAGCAGTAATTCAACTCAACAAAACAACAAGTTGTGCCAAAACTAAAATTACGTAAAATAAAAACAGGCACATACATAAAAAAAGGTAAGACTTAAAGGTCCAATATTATGCAAAATTGACTCTTGTGAGCTTTTAGCCATGTTATAATGTTATTACCTCATCTAAAACACACATGGAGTTGTGTTTTGTTTCATTCACACATGTTTCAGTAACCTTTTATTATTAGTCTGTGCCTCTCCAAAGCTCAAAATGCTCCGTCCCACCTTGTGATGTCATGAAGCAGCTAACATTTTACCTTCAGTTTAATAAATTCCAATTCCAATTCTAGGACTGAAATCATCCGAATGATTCCAGTGGACGTGTGTGGAGTTTAAAAACGCATTTCCTGTATTACCACATGACATCACATGGTGGAACAGAGTGTTTCCATATTTCAGAGAAGAACCCGGCCTAAATAAGCAGGGTTTGTGTGTTAAACGTGTGTGAATGAAACAAAACACAACTCCAGGTCTGTTTGTGATGAGGATCAACATTCTAACATAATCAGAAAGTCACGTAATATGCGCGCTTTAAAACTAAAACATGAAGTCACGTATAAACAAAAAATATTGCTTTGTTCAGTGATGGCTTTCCTCCAAACTCCGGACCTTCTCTTCCCTTCGCAGTGCAATTTCAAACAGTAAAAAGGCTGAAGGCATAAAGTCAGTGCATTACCATATAAAACACATTAAACAGCTCCGGTCTTTAAACTACAGCCTCACGCGCTCCGTACCTTTGTGGCGTTATTGGTCTCTCCATCTGAAGTAATGGACTTGAGCTCGATCTTTTCCTTCTTCTCTTCTTCCAGAGGCGGTTTCTCATTTTCATTACGCTTCTCAGGACTGGTCATTCTGGAAATAATAAAAGAATTAAAGACCATCTGAATATTAAATAGACGGGTTACGGGTGTTTCCAAACAGGTTCTATGCGAGTACTTAACCCTGGGATACTTTACATTTACATAATTTTAGATTTAAAGGAAAGGTGGAACTGAATTGTATTTGAATATAAAATGTTTTGTAATGTTTATGTAGGATTAATTTTCAACATTATTAGATAAAAAAAATATACTAGATTTATAATTATTAAAGAAACAATCACTAGAACATGCCATATTCTCTATACTTAAATATAAACGTTGTGTTTAACGGCAACTTCATAATGTCTGTAAAAATCTGTACTTTGTTAAGGTGCATTGTGTAATTTTTTTTTGGTGGAGGATCTGTCAAATGCTTTTCTTTTTTTGTAACTGAATAAATATAAAGTAGAGCTGTTTAATGTCATACTGTGAAACATTCTAAACAAAGCAATGACATTTCCGCAGAAAAAAAAGTTACATAGTGCACCTTTAAGAAAAAAAAAAATGTTTATGTCATTCCTCTTCTGACAAATTATTATATTAGTAAAATTATTGATTTCTTAAAGGTGCACTATGTAACTTTTCTGGTGAAAGGTGGTCATCTGCTTGTCTCCATGGAGATGTTATCACTTTGCACAGAAAGTTCCACACTATTAGCCAGGTTAGTGCCACTTAATGCCTCCACTCAGTTTAATTTCTCTCCAGGGACTAGGTCAGAAATTGGAATACACTAAACGGTTTAGAAGAACCCTGGAAGTGTGAGTTTGGGCACCAGCCAATCAGCGAAGAGCCAGACATTCTGTGTTGGCAATGATTCCCGAGATCGAGGATGTAAAGCCGGAACAAAGAGAATGTTTGGTGAATTTATTCAAGGGGAAAGACGTTATTGACCTTCTTCCTATGGGATTTGGGAAAAGCTTAATATACCAGTTTGCCCTGTTAGTGGCGCTTTACATACGTCACGACCAAATAGCAGCGAAGTAAAACCGGCTGAATCAGGCTAGGATTGTTCCACAGTATTATATTAAACAGCTCTACTTTATATTTATTCAATTACACGTGGTTTTATAGCTAAAAAATACCTAGAAAAACAAGCATTCTGACTGTGAGTGGGGTCAACTCTCCACAGATCTGACTGCCACACTACCACACTAAAGCATTCAACTTTTTTTTGTAGCTCCATGGAGACATGTTACAGGTCATGTTACTGTTTTTCAAGGTATTTTTGAGCAATGACACCATTTGTAATTGAATAAATGGAAAACAGAGAAGTATATGCCAAACTGTGAAACATTCAAGGCAAACCGGTAACATCTACACGGAAACAAGTGTGTTGAAGACCCTCCACCAGAAAAGTAAGTAAAGTACCCTATGATTCTCAGTCTAAAAGAGAGTTAAAACAGAGACAACAAGAGTGGTCTAAAGTTCTCTAGTGGTCAGAAAAGTTACGACCCTATGAGATAAAACACAGCCAAAAAGTGGCGTAACGTTTTCTATAGAGCCTCTCAGATCGTGGTTCGTTTCTCGGGGTCAGTTTTTCCCCTTGTCGTATGAATTAAACTGAATTACCTGGCCAGTTTCTTCCTCTCCTTCTCCTCCTCCTCCTCTTTCTGAGCAGACGTCAGGCTCTCGGCGTCGGCCAGGTTGTCCACGGCGATGGCCAAGAAGACGTTCAGGAGGATGTCTGGTCACGAGTCAAGTTTATTCACCATCCATTAAAGGATTATTATAACGAAGGAGCAGTAATTCACCAAAGGAATTATGAGACGACCAAAATCTAGTTGCCAATTGCATTAACACATTCTTAGAGAGAAGACGGGCGAAGTGTGTTGCCCAAGGATACGATGGAAGCAGCACCACAAACCTTTACATTAGTGAATAAATGTTGCCACTACTACATCCTTTGTCCATGTATGTGTGTATTGTACATTTATATATGTTTAAATTATATATAATACTGTATATAATATTTTGTTAAGTTATTATTATTATTTTATATTTTACTCTGATCTCACATTGCAATTGATTTAGTCTACTTATGTCAAATGCCTTTTGAAAATCCACAGAATAACAGTATAAATGTAAGGATACAGTTTCCGCAGATGAAGAGGATGATGAAGTAGATGCAAACCAACATCCCTGGAAAAGAGGGACCTCCGTACGCCATGATCCCGTCGTACATCACAGAGTTCCAGTCCTCACCTGTCAGGATCTGTGCAAGAGCAGACAGAAGAGAGAGGTGAGGTACGTTTACTCCATGAAGAATTGTGCTGCTGAGAGTAGTTTTATCACACCATCTATTTTCTCCCAAACTTCTTTTATTAGACATTTTCATATTTGAGTGTTTGTGCATCATCTTTCTATTCTATTTCTTTCAATACAGTGAATTGTTTAGCATTTCACTGGCTCACAGACCATAATTTTAACTAGTTTTTCACTTGTTAACGTAGTATCTTGGCTAGGCATCTCACCATGGGAAAGTTACACGATTACAGCATTTGGAAAATGAAGTTGAGGATTTATGTTGTTTATGTTGTTTACCATTACCATTTTACAAGAATAAAACAAACCACACACTACTCTTATATTAAAGGGCCCATATTACACTCTTTTCTGAACTATGTTTTCATGTTTTTTCTTCATCAAACACATTCACTAGGATAATTTTGATAATTTCAGTCCATCTCAACTGAACTAAAAATAAAAAGTAGCTGTTAACTTGAAAACTACTGCCTCATGACATCACAAGTTGGAACAGAGCATTTTGATCTTTGGAAATGTAGATCCGGGGTGTCAAACTCAAATTCACAGAGGGCCAAAAATTAAAAAACTGGGACTAAGTCGTGAGCCAAACTAAATATTTATTGAAAAATTTCATCAACATCTGCATGTTTTCTCTCCTTTCTAGAAATGTAATGTTAAACCTTTTCTTATTAAATGAAACCTTTAATATTAGTTTTGCTTAAACATTAAATCCAGAACACACATAATATAAAATAATAACACAATTTTAAATAAATAATGTCTCTATAGCCCACAGGTGTCAAACATACGGCCCGGGGGCCAGATCCGGCCCTCCAAGACCTTTAATCTGGCCCTCGGCTGATTTTCTACTAAAATATTTTAATTATATTTTCTATTAAAATATTGTTAATTTTCTGTGGTGTTTATCACAGCAGCGTCTCCAGCGTCTCTGTACGTGGCCCCTCCCACCAGAGCAGCACAAATGAAGACTTGTCTCTTTCCAAACGCTCTTAAAGGACGATCGTTTTGACTGTTGACCGTGACACCCTCATCAGAAAAATGTCAAAAATGAGAAAAGTGGAGCCGAGTGCAGGATTTTCCAAGAAAAATTGACTTATTCCTGTTTACATACAAGTTCATGTTAAAACATTGTGTTGAAATTGCATTTTTCTTAAAGTTTCAGGTTGTTCATAATATTATAATATTTTGTAAAAGAAAGAGTTCATCAATTAAAAAAAGATTTCTGTATTAGATTTGCGTTTCTCTGCACAAATATTTGAACTTATTGTTATTTTTGAGGTTTATATGACATAAGTTTTCTGATCCGGCCCCTTTGGGATCAAAGTAGGTTGGACACGGCCCCCGGACCAAAATGAGTTTGATACCCCTGCTATAGCCTATCTGTAACCGGCAGGCCAGCTCTGATACGTATTTAAAATGATCTTGCGGGCCAAATTTGGCCCTCAGGCCTGAGTTTGACATATCTAATGTACACAGACTAATTACACAGGATTACTCAAACGTGTGAATGAAACAAAACACAACTCCAGGTCTGTCTTTGAGGAGGTAACAACATTATAAAAAGCTCATAACAGTCAATTTTGTGTACTATAGCAATGTTTCCCAAAGACAAGGTCGCAAGAGATTATTTTTTGGGTCGCCTTTTCACGATCTGCATGTAGGTCTGCAATATACAGGGCTACATGTCCAAATAGGCGACTTATAGATCCTTTTATTGCTGGTTCAGTTACTGTTTTTCATTGTTTAAAACTTGGGTAATACTAATTCAGAGTTCCGAGAGACACAATCACTCGGTCAACAATAAAATATCCGCATTAATGTTCAATAACGATCAAATCCACCTTTATTTTTACGAATAATGTCTATTGACTTGGGTTGCGAAGGTTTATGACTTTTAAATTTAAACTATGGGTCCCTAGAAAAAAAGTTTGGGAAACACTGCGCAATTTAAATTTACCTGAAACACAGTGAGCAGTGACTGGGGGAAGTTATCGAACGTGCTCCGTCGCGTTTCGTCGAAGTTGAATTTTCCTCCGAACAGCTGCATCCCGAGGAGAGAGAAGATGATGATGAAGAGGAAGAGCAGCAGCAACAGAGAAGCAATGGAGCGCACAGAGTTCAGCAGAGACGCCACCAGGTTGGACAGGGAGTTCCAGTATCTGAGGGACACAGGGGAACAATCATGATAATTAATATGGACTAGGTAACGATATCCAGACCTCGATACTCGTACGGTATTTATTCCAATATTTTGTGGAGTCTAACAAAACTGTGGATATGCTGGTTTTTCCTCTTAAAATGCCTTGACAAGACTTAACCCAAAGAACTAAGACTTAAAAGTGTTTAGAACTGATATTTCTTCATGTAGTCTGCACTAAAACAGAGCAAAGGATCATGGTCTATGTAGTTCTCTGTTTTTTTTAGCTATTGCTGCTCCATAACTCTTAATTTAAGCAAAGACTCTTGTAATTCAAAATATTGTGATGGTCCACGATATTATTGTGAGACTTTTGACGAGATGTTATTGTTACATCCTAACTAATTAACTCAAAATACTTACTGGTTTTTAACTCAGCATGAGAATTGTGTGGTCCTCTGACTGACTTTTATTCATTTTATTGATTTTTCTACTTGATAATTTCAGTGTTTTTATGTTTTATTGACTTTCTTATTTGTTTTTATGCTTTATTTTATTCAATGTGTTTTTTTATTTAGTGTGTGCTACTCGGAGCAGCACTTGGGAGACATTGTGTTGGTAAAAAAATGCACTAAACAAATAAAGTTGGATTCGGTTACGGAAAATGGAAAATATGATGGACATATTTACATATTTGGATCACCATGTTACCTTTTATTGTTTTGAAAATGGTGTATTCGACAAAAACAGCGTATTAACACGTTTTATGAGTTTCAAGATGCTCTGAGCCTCCCCTCTCTTTGCTCTCCATGCTAAGTCACTCCCCCTTCAGAGCACCATCACAACACAATCGGCATGGAAACCACTGCGCACTGTATCAGGTTTGTGAAGTTGTTGCATACAGTTTTGTATCATGTTTTTGTATATTTATGGAGAATTGCTGGGTGACGTAGACTTGTGGGCGGAGCATTGGACAAAATCTTACAGCTATAGGGCCCAGAAGAGATCACTAAATTACTCAAACATGCATGGATGACATCTTAAACTTCTTCAGGCATGTTTCTGATGAGAGAACAACGTTATAACGCGCTAGAAAGCTCCAAAAAAGCATTTCAGATCCTGTACATGTGTTATGTTTACTGTATTTGACCGATTTTGTCTTATGCTTTTTTGCTTGCTAAATTACGTCATCTAGTGGTCACTTTAATTTACTCTTTTAGTAATAATAATAGTACAAGAAGAACGTTAGACAGGAAGTCGTTGTTTAGGCCTCCCTTTAGCAAAATGGCTGCTCTTCTGTTCTGATGTTTCGCTTTTGATGTTTGTTTAAGCATCGTCTGTAAATATGACATTGTAAAACATAATTACACACCTGTAATACGATTTTTTGTGTTTGATTTGTACTAGTTAGCACGTTTTTGGCACCGCATTGTTATGTAAATTAGATCGATATTCATATGCTAATGTCGCGATGCTAACTGTCATGCTAACTACTTAAACTCACTGTTGGAGCTATTTATAATTTGTAAACATTATCCAGCACTGATATTAATAGCCATTTCTGTACGTGTTTATTGTTACAGTTTCACAAAAGGTGGAACCAGTAAATTTCACCAAAGTCATCTGTTGTCTGTGAAGTTTCTAGCAAGTCCATTTACAACGTGTTTAATGTTTGATGTATTTCTAAGTGTTGTTTTTCTGTGGCTTCTCAGTTTGTCAAATGAGAAAATGTTTTCAGTCGACCTACCTGGTAAAGTGCTGAATAAATAAAATACATGAATAAAACATGAAATCCTGTATTACATTATAATATATCATGTTAACTGCAAATATCATTGGTACTTTGTTGTGCTTTGAAGCAGCCGTTCCCAAAGTCAAAGTCATGACCCTCTAAAAACGAGAAACCCAGAAATGAAACGTAATTTATTTGAGTGATTATGGCATGTTTTCCATTAGACTATTAGCTGAAAATAACGTTTGTATTACTATAATAAGACTACATCTAAGATTAGATTAGAGGACTTTTATTTGTCTCACGATGGGGAAATTCCACAACACAACAAGAAGGCAAAAAAAATCAGAAATCAAGATAAAGAAATATTAGAAAACTGTTTTAATTTTTACACTAAGACTCCTGGGCTGGCCGAGCAGACTCAGACCAAAACATGTACAACAGGTAAAATCCTAGAGATATGATAGTCCTCACCAAAACAAGCTCAAGACCAATAAGACCACCAGAGGGTACAGGGACTTTTCGGTTCGTGCCCCCTGTCTTTGGACCTCATCACCCCTTGAACTCCGAAAAGTTAAATGTCTTAGAACTTTTAAAACCAACTTAAGGGCCTGTTTACACGAGAACGCTTGCGGGTAAAAATGACAAAATATTTTATTGGAAGTGCCTTTCATTTAGATCGGTGACGCTGTTTTTGTGGCTTAAAAACTCAAAAATCTGAAAGCATCCTCCAGAGTAGAAAAGTTGAATACGCTCCGCTGTAGTGTTTACATCTACACTGCCCAAGATGCAAAACTCTGGTCAGATCTGCTCACGTCACGTACACTTTTACCTCACAAATGTCACCACCTAGGGTCACTACCATAGCCGCCTGGCATGCATACCTAACTGAATTCCACACACTTTTGCGTCACCGTATGCACACAGATTTCCTCCCGAAAACGCTCGTCTAAACGCAGAATAAAAAGTGAAGACGCGATGCCACTTTTGCGCCTTCTGTTCTGTTCATATAAACGTAGCCTTAAAACACATTTTTATTCCGGCAAGCATATGGTTGATCATATCCTGTAGCATTTTTTTGTTTTATCATGGAGAGCAGGATCTGTATATTTTTCGCAGATCTAACAAGATTAAAAAAATAAAACTAAAACATCAAGTGTAATAAACATATTGTATATTGAGTATATTGTTGATCAGTAGTGATGCATGTGGGGATTTACACAGCAGAATTTGTATTTAAAGCTTTAAGGTTGTTTAAGGCTATTAAAAGCATATCATAAAATATCTACAAAAACAAATATGCAAAACATTAAACCAATTTAAGATAAAAAATGTTCATTTTGTCTTCTTATATACAAAAGAACCCAATTTAAGATCATTATAAATTAGTTAAAAATCTTGTCTCGCCCCACTCCCTGCTGAAAATAAACCGTAACTCTCGAATTTTTGTGATTATGAGGTTGTGTATAGTAAAAATATTGCAGTTTGTGTGTGTATTTTCACCTTGTTATTTTGAATATTCTGAGCAGCCTCACACATCGGAGCACGGAGATGCCCAGAGGAGACATGATCTTGGTTTCCACTAAAATGGTCTCCAGGATCCCACCACAAACCACGAAGCTGTCGAAGCGATTGAACAGCGAAACAAAATACGCCTGGACAAAACAGAGGGAAATATTATGAATAATTAACAACAATGAAATGAACACACCGGGGGGATCCTCACCTGGAGTCCTAAGCTGTACATCTTCAACAGCATCTCGCCAGTGAAGAGGGCTAGTAAAACTTTGTTGGCGATATCTAAAAATGCAAAGAGAAAACAGAGGTTAAAGTTTCTATAAATTTGATAAAAGTATTAATGATTCAAAGGGTTTTTCTCAAGAATATGTTTTTTTTAACATGTATTAAAAGTGAAAAAATGCACAGCACACTCAGATAGCTGATGTCTAAAAGATTTTTTATTTTTAAATAACGCTTCGGCAAAAAAACAAACAAAAAAAACCTTCGTCAGATATTTTTCTTGCTTTGGATCACAGTACAGTCTACTTTTTTTTTTCTGCCGAAACATAATAAAAAACTGCTTTTGGACATCAGCCATCTGAATGTGCCGTGCATTTTTTCACTTTTATTTTGCTGTTCCTTGCATTTGCACCTCTACTAGAACTTTGGTGTGCATTTTCTGTGATTGGTGACAGTTTTAGTCCAGCCTGGATTTGTTTTAAGTTTTTTTTTTTTTTTAAGTCAATATGAAACATATGAAGAATCGAAATTGTGTTTCTCACTCCCAATCGTATAAATGATAATAAAGGGAAAAGTCCAAGTGTTCTTAGAGAGGCGAGATAGTTCAGCATCCTAACAGCCTGGTGGATGAAGCTGTAAGTGAGACTCCAACTAGAGGTCTGTGTGGGACAGAATTTTCTGTCCTGGAACTGCCCGCTCCCGCAACGAAATGCAATTTTCAGTCGCGCTCCCACCCACATCTGAGATATTTTGTCCTGCTCCTGCCCGCAAGTCCCACGAGATGGGAACGTTCACTTTCTTAAGCTCTATCAAACACGGAGAAGCGGAAAGGAATTGTCTAAAATGTGCATGAGATTAGGCCAAATACGCAAGTTTAGGCTGCTTAAAATGTTTTTATTAATGCCACATCAACTATCCAGCACAAATGATGTATGATAAACGTATATGAATCATTTGTATATTTTACTTTACACTCATATTTAGTTTGCGGGACTGCAGTTCACGCCCGCTCCCACCCAGGCCCACAGTGAGCTTTCGGAATGTGTCCTGCACTGCACTGCTTTGCGTCAGGTCCCGCGGGAGGCCCATGGGGGTGCAGAGCTCTAGCTCCTACTGCCTCCCTGAGGGCAGGAGGCTGAACAGATTGTGTACGGGGCGACTTGCATCACTCACAATTGCGAGTAGTCCAAGTTTAGACCTGAAATCTCCCATGTTTTTTAGTTCCCTGTGTTAATTCTTTCCTTTATTTTTTTCTCATACGGACAGACCTTATCCCTGATTGGCTAATCCACCTGTCAAACTAAATAAACCTGTACACAATAATCTGTCCTTTATGAATGCAGCAATATGAACTATAAATATGTAAATAGTGTTTGGACGTGGAGACTGAGACTGAATGGGACTATAGTTTTACTTATGTCATGTACAAGGTCAGTGTGTGTGTGTGTGTGTGTGTGTGTGTGTGTGTGTGTGTGTGTGTGTGTGTGTGTGTGTGTGTATGTGTGTATGAACACTGAGGTATATTGGATTGTGTTCTGTATTGTGTATGTGTATACTAAATATTTTTAGGACATTTCCTTTCCTGCTCTCATAAAAGAGGATTTTTTTATTGTTGTTTTTTTAAAATAGTTCTGCCATCTTGTATCCTGTTCTATTTGTTAATAGTGTTTGGCAAAACAAGTGTTAAACTTCAGCCTAAACCCCTTTGGTCTATAGAATAACCTTATTGCTATGCATTAACTGCATAATTTGTTTTTTGTTAAATCATTGTTATATGATGCATGATTATGTTAATTGACCGAAGAAAATAAACTACGACTACTACTACTACTTATTGACTGACTGGATGAATGATTGCATCAGTATACATTGTATTGTATTTTATTGACATGTGCGCCTTTATGATATCACCCTGTCCAGGGACTGAAGGTGGAAATTAGAAATTGTGCTATAACCTTGCTCAAACATATGACTTCTTTGCGTAGCTCAGTGTTTTTTGTGCATTGGCCCTGATAAATAAACAACTAAACTAAACTTAACTAAACTAAACTAAACACAGCCTTTTCAAAATGAGGATATGGTAAATAGTTACACATTTATAAAGTGCTTTTCCACCTTCAGGGCACTCAAAGCACTTTATGTCAAAGAACCACTCACACACTCATACACCAGTGTACGCAGACAATGGGGCTGAGGTGGGTTAAGTGTCTTGCCCAAGGCCATAACAAAAGCGTTCATCTGTGGGAGCTGGAATCGCATTGCCAACCTGTGAGTCAGTGGATCTGACCGCTCAATGAATGATGTTTTTGACGCTGAGAGCAGGACTCCCCATACAAACTTCTGTGCATGTGTTTTGGAGAATGATTTTGTTTTATTTTTGCATTTTGAAGATCTTGTTTTGTTTGTTTTTTTCTTTAATCTTCTTATGTTTGAGAGAACCCAATGTGCAAGCCTTTAATGTAAATAAAATGAATGACTGAGAGTTGGATATGAAACACCAACCTTCAGATCAGTGGACAAATGCTCCACAAACTGAGCTACTGTCGCCAAATATTCACCAATAACCAGACTCACATTTTTGTAAAGTACTGAAGAGTGTGTATTCTGAATCGAAGGCAATCCTGATGTAGTTAAGTCCTAAAACAGACACTATGTTTTTGTGTTTCGTGTATAATTTACCTTGTACATCTGTTAACCACTGCGGCTGCTGGTGGTGCTCGGAGGCGATGGTTAACGTGTTGAGGAAAACCAGGAAGATGACGAGCCAATAGAAAACCTGGGATTTGACGCCCGCTCTGCACTTCCTCCTAAACAGTCTGTTCCATCGCCGCGAGTAACGACTAAAGGGATAAAGACAATACGGGACATTGCGCCGGGGTTAGACGTAACAGAACCAGCAGAGAGAGAGAAAGAGAAGACTCAGCAGTGCATCTTGTTTGCTGTGAATGAAAATGAAATACAGTCAAATATAAAAATGAGGACTGTTTTATTTTATTTTTGATTGAGTAAAAGCACTGGAGAACAGAGAAATCAATTGTTCTTATAAAACAGAGCTGCACAAAGGACTGCGACGCTTCAGGGCAGTCAAAATCCACTGTCAAATTTATATGTAATAAATTAAATGCAGTGCAATAACTTCATTACACTGACTGGAAATTGGCTGTTCAAAAATAATCTGTTCAAATATTTAAAAAAATGTTCCATAATTCCTTAATTTTATAGTTTTCCTTAATCCACTTTAAAGGCTTTTCTCCATGTTGATGTTATTGCTTTGTCTGGAATGTTTCACAGTATGGCTTTAAATCTCTCTATCGTCATGGAGACCAACCCAGACTGAGTTACAGGTCAGATCTGTGGAGAGCCGACTCCGCTCACAGTCAGAATGTCTGTTTTTCTTGGTATTTTTGAGTTATAAAACCGCCTACAATTGAAAAAAAAAGTAAGGTAGAGCTGTTTAAAGTCATACTGTGGAACATTCCAGGCGGAGCAATGACATCTCCATAGAAACAAGCAGGTGACAGGACAGACCCCCAAACAAAAAGTTAGATAGTGCACCTTTATTTTAATTTATTAATATTCTGGAAAAAAACAAACAAACAGACAAGAAAAAAAAAAAAAAAAAATAATAATAATAATAATAATAATAATAAATATAAAAAATAAATAAATAAATACAAAATACATTAATTATATAAATTATAAAATAAAATTAAAAAAAATAATATATATTATATATATATATATATATATATATATATATATATATATATATATATATATATATATATATATATATATATATATATATATATATAAATAATTGTACTAAAAATATGTATTAAAAATCAAAAACTGACTATGAAATTTATGTCTGTGATTCCTTTTGATTGTTAAATGAACATATATAATTTAAATAGATTTTCATCAAACCGAAATTATTGCTTTGGATCAATATAAATTATTAAATAGAAAAAGGTGACATTATATATTTAAATAGAATTAAGAGATCCACATGGCTTCCTGCAGCATGTGTCATCATTTTTCATGTATATTTTTCTCATATTGTGCAGCCCTGGTATGACACATACACAGTCATCAGCTTTATTTTTTTAGTGTTTTTGTTTTTGTATGACATTAAAGAAACTGCATTTTTATTTTAGTTTATATTTTGACTTAAAATCAGAAATTTCATTAAACCACATCCCTTAAATCACATCTTTGAAAACATCTCACATATAAAAGTCCAACTTACAGCACAACACAAGATGGCATGCAGACCTGAAATCGCGAAAACAGACCCCCGCTTAGAAAAGACAACACCTTATTCCTTCACGTAAACTCCACTTTTGTCATATTAACCCGTGTTTTATAATGAGAAGAAGGGCTTCTGTCACTACCGCGCACACACACAATACTGTCTGACTCCACAGGACAGCAGAGGAGATGGAGGAAGAAGAGGAGGAGGGACAATGGAAAACAACATGTACTAACCTGAACTTGGATTTGGAGATCCTATTTCTGGAACACAGAAAACAGAATGGATTATACATACACACATCACATACATAGAGACAAGGGAGAAGTGATTTGGTAAGGCCTGGCGCGGCTCAAATCACCATCGACAAAGACAACGGGGGACAGTGCGGGACAATCAAAAAGTTTAAAGGGCCCATATTACGACGTTTTCTGATCTGTTATAATGTTGTTTTCTCATCGTAAACACACCCGGAGTTGCGTTTTGGTTTTATTCTCACATTTTAAACACACAAATCATGCATATTTTAGGCGGAGCTCCTCTCTCAAACTGAAAACGCTTCTGTAACACCTTGTGATGTCATGAGGTGATACAGAAAGTGCTCCACTGTCTTTGTAAACTCCATACACCTTCGCTAGAATCATTTGGACGGTTTCAGCCCTGGAATTGCCAATCTTGACTGAACTAAACGTAAAAAGTAGCTGTTGATTTCAGGGATTTCATTCTTTTTCACTGACAAAATTTCAAAACTTTTCCATGACCTAAAGTGAGTTTTCCATGACTTTACGGCACCTATGTGTAGAACTGATCAGACTTTTAGGGCTAAATATGACATGTTAACCCTTTCCACTCACCTTATGGTTTGGTTTTAAAGTTTTTTAACATTTCTAACATTCAAAATTAGGGATGTAATGATATCCAAATCTCACGGTGCGATATTTATTGCGATATTTTGAAGAGGCTGATATAATTGTAGATAGGACACTTTGTTTGCTTTTAAAATACCTTGACAAGATTTTAGTTTGAATTATTTCCGTCATAATCCCAAGAATTCAAGTAAAAAGCATATTTCTTCATGTTGTCTGCACTGAAATGAATCATGGGATATGTAGTTTCCGATGTTCATAAGCTGTTGCTTCTATAAAACCATGTATTTATGCAAAGAAACTCGATATATTGTGACAGCCCACGATATTATTGTGAAACTTTTGACGATACGATATTTCAATATATCAGTTATTGTTACATCCCTATTGAAAATACTGTTGTCTCTTAAACAAAAGGTGCATATGTTCAGAAATAATCATAATAGCCTAATAATAACTTAACAAAATGCTGTAGTTGTGTGAAAGAGATACTAAAATTCCATGACTTTCAAGACCTGGATAATGACATTTTCAATTTCCATGATGTTGGTGCCATTTTCTATGTTGCAATTCAGTTGAGATTCATAATATAATTTGATTTATATCCAGTGATTGCATGTTACAGCATATTTAGGATTATATTACATTTACTTTACTATTTGATAATTTGTATTTAGTTTTGAATTAGTTCAGATTAATTACTTTTAGAATTTCCAGATGTAGAGCCAATAGGAGCCAGCACCAATATGACACTTTGAGCTTGCGCATTGATGGAAGGTAAAACCGTTATTCTGTATCTTGTGTAAGATTTTCAGTAAAGACTCGGCGAACGCACTGTTTTCTATTGCTGTTAAAACCTTCAGCAGGTGTAGACTCGCTCTTTACATCTCAAAGTGGTTACCGTATTTTAAGGGCTATTAGACGCTCTGGATTATAAGGCGTACTGTCATAGAATGGTCTATTTTTGAACTTTATTCACAAATAAACCGCACTGGACTTTAAACGAAACACAAGAGTTGGATCGGTCAGTGTTTTTGTTTGTTTGTTCGTTCACGGTGACTCTGGGCTTTGTTCAGTTGTGGCATGTAGGGAGGGTGTGTCTGGGACCGCTGGATTGTCGGCGTGTTCGCAGTGACTCAGTTGTTCAGTCGTGTCTAGAAGCGGCACATTGGATTCGCTTTTTCGGTTCGTTCCTACGTTCCGTTCCTCGTCGGCGTGGAGTGATGAGTGGAGTCTGTGGGTGTTTTCGCCGCGCGGTCGCTGTCTGCTCCGTGTGTGTTTGCGTGCGCTGCGGGTGTTGCGGCTTTGTAGTTTACTGAAGTCGTGCTGGGACACCCGAGTGGATTCGTGTACAGAGCGCTCTGAATTGTGGGGCGCACAATCGTTTTTTGATGGGGTCGGAGGCTTAAGAGCGCGTCTTATAGCCCGGAAAATACGGTAATTGCATGAAAACGAACTCACTGAACACAAGAAGGAAAATTTTGCCACTTCACATGACATTTCCAGGATTTCCATGACCCTGCGACTTGCAAACTACCACTTCATGACATCACAAGGTGGAACAGAGCATTTTAAGCTTCGGAAATGTAGACAGACTAATATTAAAATGTTACTCAAACTTGTAAGAATGAAACAAAACACAACTCTATGCATGGTTTTGATGAAGTAACATTATTATAACATGGCTTAAAGCTCACAAGAGTCAATTTTGTGTAATATGGGACCTTTAACAGGATTTTGACATTTAAAATTTGTACTTTTTCATTGGTTGTCCATCACTGCTACAGCCATAAGTACAATACATTTAAACTGTAGACATTATGGGACAGAGAGAGGACTGGAGTATTGTGGAAATGACTGTAAATCATGAAATCAGTCGTGAAATATGGTAAATGATAAAAAAAAATAAAGTAGAAGTTTAGGTGTTGTTTATTATTTATTGCAGTGACATCACGCTGGGGGTGCTCTACATGTTTGTGTATTAGAGGAATATTCAGCTGTTATTATGAAAACACAATGTCCATGAAGTTGAGCAAAACTTCTCTTGCTGCAGTAAAGACGCAGTAGATTGTAAAAGCTGCTCTTGATGTCAAAACGAGACCACTGTGCAACGTTTCTGTTATTGAGTATTGTAGATTTCGGGTTGCTATGGATACGGGACATAACAGGAAGTAGAAAAAACGAGAATAATAAATGTATATAAATAAGGATATACTATGAATAGATTTTAGAATAGATTTTATAAGCTGGGTTGCAACTCTGTACTGTCTGCATCTAATTATAAAGCAGCTTTTTGGCTCATTGTCTGTGCACCAGGAAGTGTGATGTTAGCATGCTAGTTGTTTTTAGCATGGCTGTAACAACAAAACTCTACTCAGGTCTACTAAAAAGTTGTGAAAACCGCTTAGGAACTCATCACGGTGAATAATTAGGACGCTCTGAATGCACACATGAGCAAAAACTGCCCCAAAAACGTTTTAATGTAGTCTGTAAACTTAAGAAAAGACATAAAATGGATTTAAGCGACACATTTTCAAGAGCTTGTGATCAATACGAGCGTTCATGGTGCTGTTTAGGAGTTTTTGTGACTATAATTTTACGTCTGAGAGACTTCAGATCACCTGTTGTCGCTCCAACCAAACCGGCTCTGGTCAGATTGTGTAAAAACAAAGCTCAGATTAAAGCAGGGGTATCAAACGCAAATTCACAAAGGGCCAAAATTAAAACTGGGCCTATCTGTAGCCGGCGGGCAGCTCTAATACATATTTGATATAATCTCGCGGGCCAAATATAATAATATCGAGGCCAAATTTGACACGAATTTTTGAATTTTTGATGAATTTGTCCAAGTTTGACATGTCTGGATTAAAATATAACAGCGCTTCTAACAGAGTAGTGCTTTCAGTTAGCATCACATCCCCAGTGACTGCAGAAAAGATCAGCTGCAAAGTATCAACAGTGGTCCAAAAAAAAAAAAAAAAAAGAAGTCTGACGTAGGCTTTTTTGGCGAAACGCAATCTCAAAATAATGAAGAGTTCTGGACATCGGCCAAGCTGCTGCTCCTTCCACTTGCGCCTCGATAAAGACGCTGGAGTGCATTTCATTGCTGTGCGTTTTCTGTTTGATTAGATCAGTATTGTTTATTCTCAGCGTATGGAAATCCTTTAAATTCACTCGTTATGGCTCGATCAATGGGACTATACTACATTTCTGCCTTCCCCCGGTGCAGAGATATTGTAAAAGCAGCTCTTGAGGTTCAAAATGAGGCCACTGTGGACTGTCTGCATCGAAATATGAACTGTCCTAGAACCAGGATGTGCGCTGTTAGCATGCTAGTTATTGTTCGCATTACTACTCGCCGATCCAATCCAACTTTATTTGTATTTCACATTTGTAGCACAATATAAATCAACACAACATTAAATAAAAAAATATATAATAAAAATAATAATAATAATAATAATAATAATAGTCAGTAACAAAACAAACAAACAAAAAAAAAACCTAAAATTAGCAAAATCCCCCCAAACCTAAAATTTGCAAAAAATTTATAAATACATAAATACATAAAAAGTAAAATTTGCAAAAAAAATTTATAAATATATAAAAACTTAAATGAGCAATACATAAATAAATAAATACATAAAAACTTAAATAAGCAAATAAATAAATAAATAAAAACTAAAATTAGTGAGAAAAAAACAACAACAAAACAAAACAAACACAAAAAAACCCAAGCAAAAACAAAACTAAACTAAACTAAACTAAACTAAACCAAAAAAAACTAAAAATAGCAAAAAAATTGTGCAAATTTTCACAGTGTTTTAAAAGCCGGTGAGTAAAAGTTTGTTTTTAAACCAGACTTAAAAGAATCAACTGAAGGGGGAGCATCTTAATATGTGGAGGGAGACTGTAGTCTAGTCTCTGAAAGTTGTAAAAAGTGCTTACAAACTCATTGCGATCAATAATTAGGACATTCAGAATGCATAAAATAACTCTGGACCACTGCAAACTATTTAAAATGAACTAGCTCTTTTCCCCTTTTTTTTTTTATTATTTTTTTAATTGGATCGGTATTGTTTATTTACATTTATTTGGTTAAAGGGACTATACCAGATTTCTGTCCATGAATTCGAGTAGTACAGTGTGCTTCTTGTGGGTTTCCTCTGGCTTCTGTTTTCCTCGACCACTAATATAATTTAGTTTTGGTCGGACCATCATGGCTCTAGACCAAACCTTGATCTGATGTGGGGAGCGTCGTTATGTCTTTGTCTAGAATGTTTCACAATATGGCGTTTTCAGAGGTCGCTGGTGCTAGGCTAGTGTATGTCAATGGTCCTGACACTAAAAACAGTCTTACCCACTCCGCAAAACACCCGAAGTAAAACTATTATTAC